TTGAAGGCACACGTTCTTGAGCCGCTTCGCGTTGTGCTGCTCTGCCAGAGCTAGCGTCGTCGCGACTGTGTCCGCATCCACCGTCTCGCACAGCTTCGACTCGCAGATTAATCGCAGCCGGTCTAAGGCGTAGCGGTCCGCAGCCGCGAGCAGATGCTGCGCCATGATTGGCGTGAAAGCGGACGGTCCCGAGCTCGGAAGATCGTCGGTGTAGATGAAATGAAGGAGAGCTTTAAACACCGGAGCCTCGATGTCTGTAACGGGGATGTTACCCTCCCGCCTGTCCCGCATGGGTCCGTACAATAAAGCCTTCAAGACTGGCGAGCGCGCGGCGAGGATGACTCTATGAGCGGACACCGTTTCATCTCCGACGTCGAACGTTACATCGCATCCCTCGCCCGAGTACAGAAGCACCTCGTAATCCTTCCCCATCTGCGACGGCGGAATAGGTATCGACACCGGCTGCTTCGGACCCTCCGTTTCAGTCACAACGACGCCGACCGTACACGTGATCTGCAGCGTGTCGTCTTTGAGATAATCCGACGTCTCTAACGTCGCTCGCCGGAAGAACCGCTTGTAACCCCACATGGATCCTCGGTACTTGAGCGTGTACGGTCCAGATTCAAGCGCGCGGTCGAAGTGCGAATGGACTTTATGGCGACCCCGTCCGCTTTGATCCAGCATCGTCAGCTCGAACAACGCACGGACGTCCGTCCCCTCGCTCGCAAGCGCGATGAAGAGCGAAACGTACTGCGAGTTATCCTCCGCGTTCTTCCCGTCCGGGTAGAAGTAAATAGCCCATTTGAAGCCTCCAACGGTGAACGTGTCACTGGACATGTATTTGCCGACTCCCATGCCCTTGGCGAGAGAGTAGCCGGTGATGTTGAACTGGTGGCTGCCATTTACCGTCTTGGTGATGCTCCTGGACTTGGTCGGACTGCCTGGCGGATCCTTCGCCGGCATCCTTACCGACTTGGAGAATAATTCAGTGAAGAGGTGTAAGAAAGGAACGAAACACACTAGAACTGCAGTTTTCAAGGTGAGACGCGGCCTAATATGAAGCTAAGAAGCAGCAAATATTTTCTAAGAAGTTGAAGAAAAAGAAACCGTAAAGGAACCGTCCACCCGCAGCAAATCTCACAACCCTATCGAGCCTGCCAAGAACAAAACAAGGCCGTATGTAGTACAGCTAGGCAAGACCTGCGACGGCGACTGAGGTGATAAAGGTACGTACTAAAATATCTGAGATACGAAGGAAGCTAGGCCTGCAAGCAAACGAGGGTTGCAAGAAAGGAACGAGTGGACGGACAGAAATAAGGAAGTGTATGGAGGTGCTTCGAGATAAGGAGGCCCGTGAAACCCTAGGCACGGAGGGATGCAGCAGCACAATCGCATAAGAAACAGCAAAGAGAAGAAGATTGCGCGGTCCTGTACGGTGAGTTGTTGATTTCATTAGGTGGTGTGAGGTGTATTGGAGTAAGGGTTGTCTGCCCAGGGCTGACGCATGCACGGTTTGGGATGGATGCGTGAAGGCGATGGATGTTGCGGTGACGGGATTTGAGTGGCTGTGTAAGCCACCGCACCAGAGAGGTCTGGCACGGACACAGACTGACAGGCTGAGGGCGTGTCCAGTTCGTTCATTTCGGGTTTTTCAGTGCCAACACACGTCTCGAGGTTCAAGAATGATCACTGTACCTAACAACGAATGTATTGTGAGTTGAGTCCGACCTACATGTAATTTCAGGAGTGTGGACACATTCCCCGCCACACGAATCAACAGTGCTCGGACCGCGTTCGAAACGAGGTAACATTCTTCCTCGTCAATCATAGCTTGAGAATTTTTAGGCAGGCGCAGGGGGCGGTGGCGAGTGTAGCGAGCCACTGGCGAAATCGTGCAAGTGATACATGGGCCTCTCTGTAGTGGCCAGGACGCGGTGCTGTACCCTTGTTCGCGTCCCCGCTGATTCCAGTAACGTGAGTCAGACGACTCGAGGTACGTGCAGGGGGCGTGCCGTCTTGTGAACGACAGCTGATTGTGTCCGCAGGACACGTTCAGTACAGTGTTACAACAAAAATGTGGTAACTGAACGGGTTTACGAACAGTAAATGTACGAGCTGGACACCTCCTGAGATGGGGTGGGAGAATGGATGGGCTGGGATGGGTTGATGAACGCGGAATTATGTAGGAGCGAAGAATGCGGCAACATCTGTGGACGAACTTTGCTATAATTGGCATGATTGAAAGTAAGCACTACCAATATATCAAATACATTGCAAATTCCTAATTGCAACACATACAATCCAGCAAGCAAGGCTAACAAAACAGTGTCCCAACTCAAACATCTCTTAGCTTGATGATAATGGCATCAGTCGGCAGTACTGGAACCTAACCAGCAGTAGCACAAACAACTTATTGCCTGACCCCACCACCTAGATCATAAGCTCGGTTCGGACACATCAATTACCAGCTCCACTGGTACAGGCACTGTATCCCATCCACCGTCCTGTACATTTTCCCTCTCATCCACAAGAACATCCTCTGCATTGGTAGGCTCAACATAACCAACTGGGACATCGTGTCCATTTGCCAACCCTTCAACAGGAGAACCGCTCTGATGATCCCCCAGACCTGGATTTTCCAAGCCTGTACTTTCCAGACCTGTATTTTCCGAAACTGTATTTTCGGATGCTGAATTATCTGGGCCTGCATTTTCGAGATCTGTATTTTCCAGACCTGCACTACCCACTGCTCGCCTTGACTTGCGCTTACGGCCGACGTTTGCAGATGGCTGCTCACTTGGATCCTCTGCACAAGGCAACAGAAACGAAACGAGGGATCCAATAAAACGATTCACCCAGATGACACTGTTGTCTGTGAAAGGTAAACAAATGTTTAAACAAATGGTAAACAGAATAGAGCAGATGGTCGAAAACGCTGCTGCCATACACAATTAAGAGCACATAGCATGAAATACACTCACCTCTAGCTGCCAGCTCCTCATAAGAACATCCACGCCGAGCCCCCCCCCAGCCAAACTTTGAAGTAGATTCGGTCTTTGCCTTGGAGAAATCAAGGCCGTCCACAGCTGCTGGATCAACGGCCATGATCTCAAGTACATTCGGAAGCCTGAAAGTCACAGGCTGGTAACCGTCAGACTCGTCATCCTCTTGGCTGGCTCCCAGGTTCTTCCTCTTGCTCGCCCTTCCTCTCCTAGGTGCAGCCTTCTGCTGCACGCCTGGCGCGACATTGTAGTATGGGTTGCTGTTGCTGTTACCTGGTACTTGACCTGGCATGAAGTTAAAGTATGGATTGCTGCTGTTGCTGCTACCCGGTACTTGGCCTCGTGTGAAATTTAAGTATGGGTTGCTGTTGCTGCTACCTGGTACTTGGCCTGGCACAAAGTTAAAGTATGGATTGCTGCTGCTGCTGCTGCCTGGTACTTGGCCTGGGAAAGACTGGAATTGGCCTGGGTGGAATACGGTTGACTGGCCTGCTGATGGGTGCACCTGGGCCTGGGTTGGGGGGGTGCTGACGCGTCTAGCCTTTCTGACGAGCTGGGCAAGATTCTCGCGAGCGTTGGAAATTGCCACGTCAGCGTTGTCCCCTGATGTGCGTGGGTTGGACAAGCACGGGGGATGAGGGGAGGGGGGGGGGGGGGAGGAGTAACGGAAAGGATGCTCAACGTCTCTACGTATGGATAATTTTATGCAGCCAGAGAGAGCATGGAACGATATGAGGTTATGTTCATCCCTACAGGAAACAGAAAGTGTCCAATAGGCGCTGATGAGGGGATATTATCGAGGCGACAATAGTAGTGAGGTGACAATAACGAGGTAAATGGATGGAGTAGCCACCAGGAACAGCGGTCAGCAAAGAGTTTGTCTACCAAGTGGGGAGCGGCTTCGAGGAAGAGGAAGAGGTGAGAGAAGGTGGGTAGCGCTCCTCCTGGCATCAACGATACTACAGATGATAACGCCGAGACTACAATGGCAAGGGAACAATAACGAGGTGAAGGTTCTGCCTACCAGCGACAGCGGCGCCAACGAAGAGTCGCTCGACGAGGTGCGGAGCGGCTTCGATGAGAAGGAGGAAGAGGTCGGAGTAAGTGGGTAGCGATCCTTTCGGCATGTACGCCGCGAGCCCGCATCGCAGCACGTGCAGCGGGTCGCGAAGGTCTTTGGAGATAAAGATGGTGCGACTGGGTTGCGCAGAGAGCGACTCGCCTACGGATGGAGGCTTGTGATCGGACGCCATGGGCTCGTTGGAGATATTAGAAGCTAAACAACGTTGGGCAATGGGCTTCGAAGCTTCGAGAACGGAATATTACAATAACGCGTATCAGTGCTCTCTTGCTCCAGTCGCAGAACTGGGTGTTCTAAACGTGAACAACGCACTCGCTAGTAACTTGCGATTACTCGCGGAAACTCCGGGATTATTGCGATTACGAGGGTAACTTGGTGCTACATAGGAAGAAAATACTAGAGTCATTGTAGGGCATGCTTGTAAACGCTGCCAACTTGCTTTCAGAGTCACTTCGTGGAGAGTTTTTCTCAATCCCGTGGGATCGCGGTTTTTTTTATTATCGCCACGTGGCATGCCTTCGATCGCGTGAACCGCGATCTGTTTTATTGTTATCACAAACTTCAACCGAAATTTAGTTAAGTTCTGTACTGTGCTGCCCGTGGGCAAAAATAAAACCCATTCGGGCCTGGCATGCGTTAGGGAGGCATCAACCCTAAACACCTTGCCTCTAGGTGTTTAGGGTTGATGCATCCCTAACGCATGCCTTACCTATAGGGGTTTTATTTTTGCCCACGGGCAGCGCGGTACAGCACTTAACTGAATTTCTCTTGAATTTTGTGATAACAATAAAACAGATCGCGCTTCACGCGATCATAGGCTCGCCACGTGGCGATAATAAATCAAACCGCGCTTCCGCGGGTTTGAGCAAAAGTCTCCACTTCGTGTCATTTTTGTCATCGAGTTTTGACACAAAGGGATGCCCTACTTTCTTGTTCGCTCGCTGCGATTTCGCGACATAGACGTGTGGGGGTTGTTACCAAGCTGACCTTGCACCATGTCAAACCAGGGCACGCGATGCACCATATATTTTCGGCTAAAGTTCCGTTACAATTTCCGGTTTCGCCTTCGCAGAGCGTCCTGCCCTCCGCATAATTCCGCACGAGAAACTTTGCTTGTTGCAATTTCTTTTCCCGTGGAACGCAGATCGAGTCAGTTGTTTCTGTTGCCTCTTTCTTCCCTCGCATTTCCCCCCTCCCACGAAACCTATGCTGGCTCTCTTTTGAGGCTGTCAGTGGTGTGGCCATAAATCCTAGTCGTGCTATCAAGTCATCAAAACGCTCGCTCAAAGCCGCTTCTAGAAAACAAGTTCCCCCTGTCGTCTTGCTCGAAACCCGCCGTTCTCAGACTCGATCCACCACACGCATTCGCGGCGCGCGCGACGTGTTTCTTCTTCCATCCTTCGAAGTTCTACTCTTCCTTCGAAGTTTTAGTCTTGTTGGTACAATCGTTCCGCACGCAATGACAACAATCCGACGGTTCACGTGCGACGATCTGTTTCGATTCAACAATGTGAACCTCGACTGGTACACAGAGACTGTAAGTGCATTGCACTCTTATGCATTCACATGCACTAAGGGGAGGGGGATAGTTGAGTCGATTCAAACCTCGACTGGTACACGGAGACTGTGAGTGCACTTACAGGCACTGAGGGGAGGGATGAAGGACCTATGTGGAATTCAATTCTCAGAAGTGATTTTGACTGGTACTCGGAGACTGTGAGTGCGCTCACATCTTCTGAGGAGAGGGATGAAGGAGCAAGTTTATTTGTAGTGACCTTTGAGTCAAAAGGTCACTACACTGAGAGTGACCTGTAGTGACTCAAAAGTTACACCGAGACTGTGAGTGCACTCACATGCAATGACGGGAGGGGCGAGGGGCTGGGGAAGGAAGGAGGACAGATGGACTTATGAGTCTGACTCAAAAGTCACCTCTCATGCACAGAGGGGATAAATTGTTGAGTCAGACTCAAACCTCGACTGGTACACTGACTGTAAGTGCACTCACATGATGCTGTAGATTCTGGTTTTTGAGAATTCTCAAAAACCATCTATAGACTCAATCCTCGACCGGTACACTGACTGTAAGTGCACTCACATGCACTGAGTGGAGGGATGGGGGAGTTGGAAGCGAGGAGGGGACGAGGGATGGGTGGAGGGCGTGAGAGAGAGCTGAAGGAAAAGAGTAAGGGAAGGAAGCAATCGATGAGACTATAGTACCCTCCCAACCTATTCTATCTACATTTCTGTACATGATCCTACACTCACCATATCATGGCAGTACAATCTGAATAAGGAACTTTGCATCTGTGTTTCTTTATTTCATTCCTGTACACTACACTACACTCACCGTATGGCAGTACAACCTGAACTTTTACCTGGGCTACATGGCGAGCTGGCCCGAGTATTTCGTGGCGGCTCAAGGACCAGGGGACCGAATCATGGGCTACAGTGAGTGACGTGGCATGGTGACAAGGCGGGCTGACCCCCATGGTAGTACACAGGACAAGTCAATGTATGAGAAGTTGCATTGCGAAAGCGAGGTGTGTGTCACTGCACAGTATCTGCTCTATCCCTTTTCTCCTCTCCACTTGACAAATGCAACGCAGTCATGGGCGAGCTTTGGCATGCGCATATGCATCGGTGAACTCTCCACATTGCACCGTGCCTGCGCCTCTCCAACCCCCCCAAAACTTCTAAACCCCCCTCCCTCTTTTTCTTGCATGACAGTAATGGGCAAGGTGGAGGGAGAGGGCGAGCTGCGGCACAGCCACGTGACGGCGCTGACTGTGGCACCCGAGCATTGACCACAGCACATCTTGTGTTTCCATCCTATCCCCCCTTCCCCCCTTCGCTCCCCTCTATTGGCAGTCATGGGCAAGGTGGAGGGAGAGGGCGAGCTGTGGCACGGCCACGTGACGGCGCTGACAGTGGCGCCGGAGTATCGACGGCAGCAGCTGGCAGCAAAATTGATGGACATTCTCGAGGAGATCACCCACAAGACGTGAGTGGTGCTGCTAGGAGAGGAAAATTCCAAGAAGCCAAAAGGTGCGTGCAGCGAGAGAGAGAGAGAGAGAAAGAGAGAGAGAGAGAGAGAGAGAGAGAGAGAGAGAGAGAGAGAGAGAGAGAGAGAGAGAGAGAGAGAGAGAGAGAGAGAGAGAGAGAGAGAGAGAGAGAGAGAGAGAGAGAGAGATCATCTTACCCAGCCTCTAGCACCTAGCCCTTTCATCATTCTCACCCCTATATAATGGCCTCTCGGCCTCTGATCTAACTCATTGTTCGCTTGGTTCTCCAAAGCATTTTCCCGGCGCTCTCGCGAGAGAGCGAGAAAGAGAGAGAGCATCTTACCCAGCCTCTAGCACCTAGCCCTTTCATCATTCTCACCCCTATATAATGGCCTCTCGGCCTCTGATCTAACTCATTGTTCGCTTGGTTCTCCAAAGCATTTTCCCGGCGCGAGCGCCGGCGCTTCGTGCGCGGCCTTCGGCCGCGCGTGAGGGGTGACAAGACTAGCACAACCGTGGCCAACTAGAAGGACATCAACAACAACAATGGCAACCAAGTACATCTATGAGCAAACACATGGAGCGGGTCTACACGCGAACGAGGGCCGCGTCTACATGCGGTCCGCCTCAAGCTCACCTAGCATTTCGCGCATGGTCGTCCACATCAAGCGGACCACTGACGCGGTGGCGCCGACAACGTCAACAGGAGTTCCGCCATCTCCTACAAGCGTCTTCAGATCCAGGGCCTTCTCAGCCAGCAGGGTGGCCGAGACTACTCCCGGCGAGGGCGCAACCTGCAGTGGCGATACGTACGAGAATATTGCTGACGCCGCCGCGTGACACCTTGCTCGCGGCATCTGAGAGAACGTGCTCGGTGGGGTCACCGCCATGGAGCCATGGGACTCCGCTAGGACCACCTCAAGACCCTGCAGGCTCTCCGCAAGCGACCATAAGTGCGCCAGGGTCGCCGTGGGCACTTCCTTCTTCGCCGGCATCAATGCAGAGGCTCGAGCTCGACGGGACGACACCACATAATCGCGCGGAGGTGGAGCAGGGCGCGGCGGAACGAACGGGGCCCACGGATCCCCGCCTCCCGCGCCCACGAAGCTGGCTCCAGCAGGCAGCGGTCGACCGGGGCGCACGAGAGAGCCCTCGGGATCATGCGGCAGGAGGGCAGCGAGGGGAACATCGGGGGCAGGGGGACGCGCAGGACGGGACGACGATTCCGCCTTCGTACGATGGATTGCTTCCTCCACGCCGTCCAGCCTCTGGAGAACGCGCTCCATCGCGGACGGCGCCCAAGGCGCCGCTCCGCCACGGCCATAGCCTCCACGACGCCCATGGCGCCCACTCGCATTCGACCGCACGGGCGATTGCGGGCGGGATTGCACGCGCTGGCGGTGGCGCCCAGGGGATCGGCCCCCGCGACGAGGCGAGTGCAGCCGCTGGCGCTTTGACGGCCGCGATGAATGCGCCGTGGGAGATTGGTGACGAGAGGCGGGACGATGAGGTGATCGCTGACGGATCGAACGGCGAGCGGGAGACTGGTGGCGGCGCGTCCGGCGATCTCGGGACCGGCTCCGCGATACCTTGGGACGCGGCAAACGAGGCGAGCGAGGCGAACGCGGCGAACACGGCGAATGCGGCGACCGCGGCGGACGGGGCGACGGAGTTTTTCTACGGCGATCATTGCGGGGGTTCGCCCGCCCTTCCTCGCGCGTCACTGACGAGCGGCGCCTAGGCGAACGCCCCCGGTGCGCCGCTGCCTCCGCGTCGGAGCGCGCGACGTGTCCCTCGAGCGCCCGCTCTGTACGGGACAGGGACCGCGGCAGTTCGCGACGATGCTCCTCGAATCGGCGGCGGATCTGTTCATCCGCACCCATCGGAGCGACGGGGACGCTCGCGGCAGGACGCGCAGGGGGAAGTGGGCGGAGAGCAGGCTCGCTCTCCGCGGTACAGTCGCGGCCGGGAGGAGCCGTCGTCTCCATCAAGGCGAGGGGAGGATTCCGCGCCAAACGCGGACGAGGGGCGAACGGGGGCGATTCCTGCAGGACGCGGGGGGAGAGCAGCGGGCAGCGGAGGGCGAGCACGCGGAGGCGGGCCAGAGAACGCCTACCAGCAGGCGGGAAGGCGGGCTTTAATGAATGAGGATAATGCCAGCAGTACTTCGGACAGCAGCTTTGTACCTGCTGAATCGACAGACTCAACTTCGAGTTCAGAGTCCGTGGACGAGACACACCACCAGACTCCAGTTCGAGCAGGAAGAGCTACACCATCCCACACTGGGGGAGGTGGCACGGCTCCGCGGTCCATAGGGAGGAGGGGGCCCCCAACACCAACCTGCGCCGCGACGGGCATTATGGCTACACCACCGCCCCCAACCACAATTTCCAACTTTCGAACCACTCCACGAACCGCCCCACACTCTGCCACTGGTGGAAACCACACTCAACCCCATCCCCCGGAGGAAAGATCTCCAGAATCCCTCGCCAGGGATGACACCCTCTTCGCCAGCGTGTCCACCTGGGATTTAGCGAAACTGCGCGACTCTCGCCACGCTCCTCTCTCCCGCCACCTCCCTTCGGACCCACGCAGGCTCTTCGCCACAGCACTGCTTGTACCTCTCCTGCGATTGGCTGAAAATCCAGATTCGGATTCTGCTTGGACGTTGTTGCTGTTCGTCGCAAGATTGACTCTGCGCCAGATGTCACCACGCCGGCCAGACTGGAAGGCTGTTGAGGCCCGCCTTCGTCAGTTTCTGTCTGGAGAATGGGACAAATTGTACACAGAAACAGTGGAATCCCTTTCGTGGCCTCAGCCACCCAGACACCAGCCCGATGACATTGGCGTCATCGCCAGGGCGGAGGGACTCGCGCGACGTGGCAGCTTACGCCGTGCCGTGCTGGCACTTGAAGCCACGCCGGTCAGCACTCCTTCCCCAAGTGTGCTGGAGGCCTTGCGCGCCAAGCATCCACCGGCACCTTCCTCCCTACCGGACTGGACTTTCCCAGCACCTGACCCAGGCCTATCTGCACCGTTCGCAGTGTTTTCCAAGGTGCTGGGAAGCTGTGAGATGGGAGTGGGAGCGGGCCCCTCTGGAACAACGTTCGAACACTTACGTGATGCGGCGCTGATCAACCACTCCGTCGGGAAACATCTTCATGCACTCGTCAACACGGTCCTCACGGGAAAGCTACCACCAGCAGTAGCCGAGCTCCTCACTGCCTCGCGGTTGATTGCCCTCACCAAGCCAGAAGGAGGAACACGGCCAATTGCCATTGGCGAAAGCATCACACGCCTAGCTGCAAAAACGGCGCTTACCTTGACCGCAGGAGCCGCTAGGGAATTCTTCCTTCCGCTCCAGTTTGGCGTGGCGGTTCCCGGAGGGGCAGAGGCAATTATCCACATCACACGCACCTACCTTACAATGCACACGGGGGCTTTGGTCCTTCAAGCGGATCTGGCAAACGCATTTAACAGCGTGAATAGGGAAGCGATTGTCACGTCGCTTCGCGGATCCCCTCTCGCTTCCCTTTTGCCGCTAGTAAAACTGTTGTATGGCCTCCCCTCGGCCCTCTGCTTAGACGCTGGCTTCTCACACCCACCCATCCTGAGCGAGACCGGAGTGCGGCAGGGGGACCCCCTCGGTCCCCTGCTTTTTGCCGCTGCCATTCACCCAGCTCTGGCGAAGACGGCTCTTACCTTCCCGTCCGTGGTTTGCCTAGCTTACGCGGACGACGTCACTTTTCTTGGAGAGCCGGCTTCGTGTGCGGCGGCGTTCGACGACTTCACGGGAAACCTTGGGGAGATTGGGCTGCGCCACAATCCGGACAAGTGCGCGGCGTGGTCACAGTCAGGGCGGCGTGGAGCAGTGCTTCCGGAGGGCGTACCTTTCGTGGATGATGGAGTGAAGGTGCTCGGCAGTTTCATTGGCGGCGCCGATGCAACGGCGGCATTCCTGCGTGATAGCCTCGACAAAATGGGCGGGCCCCTCCCCTTAATCGCGCGGATGGAGCCGCAGTTGGCTTCACTTCTGCTCACGCGATGCATCTCACGACGGGTCTCCTATGTTGCACGCACCACACCTCTCTCTGCCTTACCTGTTGAGGAGTGGTCCGACTGGGGCAAGCGCCTCTTCGAGACGTTGCTGACGGCTTGTGGCATCCGCCACCCACGGGGGGAGGACGAGATTTCGCGTACATGGGCCCAAGCTTCGCTTCCAATCTCGCTTGGAGGCTTGGGTCTCACAGACCCCTCGGTGGAAGGACGCGTGGGTTTCCTAGCAAGCTTCACCCAAGCCCAGCACCTACTCACCTCTATTGACGAGGCAGCAATGGGCGCGCTGGCGGAAGTTCGGATGCGGATGAAGGGGCCCTTTACCAACACGACCCCCCTATTTGACTGGCTGGAGCGGTGTGAGGAGTCGCTGCCGGAGGATGGAAAGGAGCTGCTGCAGAGTGACCGATGTGATCCTAAGGGTGTCAAATTGCAGCAGGGGCTGGCTATCGCGGTGCATGGCCAGCGCTACGCCGAGCAGGTGCAAGCTACACGCATCATGCCGCTAAATCCACTTAGCGGGCACACGCAGCGCATGCTCTCGCTCTCGGGGTATGGGGCAGGGGACTGGCTCAACGCCGTGCCCTTCAACAAGTCGCTGCGCCTTGCCCCGGCCCACTTTGCTCACGCGCTGGAGTTTCGGTTAGGGCTCCCCTCCTCGGCTCCTGGTGCCTGTGGCTGCCGCAAGGAAGTGTTAATCCCGGACAGGCGGCTGCCCAACCATCTCCTGCGCTGTGACACGGGGAAGGGGAGGACTAATACTCACAATGAGCTGCGTGATGAATGCTTGCGGATGGCCAGCGACGCGGACTTCATGACTCACAGTGAGACGACGGCATTCTGTCCCGTCACGCGAAAGAAGGCCGACATTGCTATCAGAGACAAGACCTCAGGGGCGGTGTGGATTGGGGACGTGACCATCACGGACCCCATCAGCACACGTGACCCCGACGCGGTCAAGGGCAGGGGATGGGCGGCCCGTGAGGCGGCAGAGAAAAAGATTTCCGATTACGAGGGCTCAACGGCCTCGTGGGTCGGATTTTTCCCACTGGCCGTTGACACTTACGGCTGCCCTTGCGCGGAAGTCCCCCAATTTCTCAAACTGTTAGCTGACACTGCCGCCCGCAGGCACTTCAATGCGGCCCCCTCATCTTACCAGGCAACGAAGCTGCTACACCAGTTCCGCCAGCGGTGGTCCGTGGCGTTGCAGCGGGCTCAGTCCGTGGCCTTCATGACGAAGTGTAACTTCGCAGCTCAGGTGGAGAACCCACCTGTGGAGTTCCCGGGCGATGGCATGTCCCTTGGGGACTGCCTGGCCATCCTGGAGCCGGCTCTGGAGCTCCCTTAGAGGGAGCAAGGGTGTGAGTAGGATATAGGAGTGTTATAGGCCTGTTGCTCCTAGACCCTATATCCTTGGTGCATGTCTGTACTTGCTCGGATCTAATACACGGACCGCTTGAGAGAGAGAGTAGCTGGTAATCAAGCTGATGGACATTCTTGAAGAGTGGTGCAATTGTCAATTCTTGCGATCTTGGAGCCGCTAGTCGATGAAGGGTGGATTCTGAAGCTGTGATCCACGGAGGTGCACCGGGAGCAGCAACATCCACCATTTGACACATCTCCGTGGATCTACAGCTTCAGAATCCACACTTTGAATGTCTCGACTAGCGGCTCCAAGATCACAAGAGTTGACCATTGCACCAAACTTGAGTGGGACTGAATGGGTTAGCCGTTGAAAGAGTGCATGCCGCGCAGCTTAACAGTTGCATGCAGCCAGAGAGAGTGCAGCTGGCAGCGAAGCTGATGGACATTCTTGAGGAGATCACTCAAGTTGTGAAATGCCATTATGCCATATTCACCATAATCAATGGCTCATGGGACACGAGGGGCTGGGTGTAAGGAGAGTGAGTGCAGCTGGCAGCCAAGCTAATGGACATTTGTATGAGATCAACCTCAAGACACGAGTGCTTTCCGCTCCAATCCCCATCCCAAGTGTTTTGTAAATCTCTTTGTCCTCTGTGTTCCCCTGCTTCTCACTCTTGTTTCCCTGCAATGCATTTCAGTTATGATGGGTACTTTGTCGATCTCTTTGTCCGGACGTCCAATAAGGCTGCTATCCAAATGTACCGTAAAGTAAGTACCAACCATACATACCTGGTTATTAATCGTCCAACCATACTTACCTGGTTATTATTCATCCAACCATCTGTAACTGGTTCCAAGTCCGACAGTCATTTGTTCTGGTACAACAATCATTTATGTCTCGCTGTTTCTTATGTCCACTTGATATTTTTTTCTTGCCTCATTGGTTTCCTTCCTCTCCTGTCTCACTTTCAGTTTGGGTACGAGGTGTATCGTCGCGTGCTGATGTATTATTCCGGGGAGGAAGATGCCTTCGGTGAGTTTCCATGCCATGGCTGACATGATCTGGGATGGGATAGTCAGCATGGCATCACATGACATGGTGCCATTGCATTTCATGGTATGTCATGGCTTTCTTTTGGCGCTAGCAATGCATAAAATTGCGTGACGTACTTGTCCATATGCAAGAAAACATCTGTGTTTGCTTGTCCATATGGGGCTTGTAATCTCTTTAACACCCTAATGTATATTCCCCTCCCCACCCCCTCCCTACCTTCCCCATCCTCTCCCTTCCCCCCATTCCTTACGGTGCCATACCATCTCGGTTATAGATATGCGTAAAGCTATGCCAAGAGACAAGGAAAAGAAGTCGATGGTTCCACTTGACAGACCTGTGACTCCGCAGGAGCTTTTGTTTGATTAGCGTTACGAATGTTAATTGCGTATCATGACTTGAATATATACAAGCCAAATTGCTTTGCACTTTTTTTAGCGAGTGTACGCTAGAATGGAATGACAAAGAGCAGCAATGCTGGTCTCGCACGTTTCGAAAATCGCAGCCGAAGCAATTACGCTGCGGAGTTCTTCGAATGTGTGCTGCTTACTACGTGTTGGTCGGGTCGACCCGGTCGGCTAAACCAGATCCAACCCAACCCAACCGAAATGCAACACGAGAAACCGATGAGTTTCCCGCGACCAAACCCACCACAATTCTCGATCCTGAATTTCTAGGAAGGTTACGTTGCACTAAACTCTTCGGTTTCTCGAGTTTCATTTCGGTTGGCTTAGGTCGGGTCTGGTTTCGTTGACCTGGTCGACCCGACACGACCCAACCCTGTTATGTTACGAGTCCCAAAGATCTCGTCAAACCTCGCATATTCCTCCATCATTTTTCTTTCTGACCTCCCTTCCCATAACCTCACCTTCGCTGCCCTCCTCTTGCTCCCTCGTCGTCAGCTGCTGAAGTCGGACCCTTAGGGCGTATCCAACTTCGGGTCATGAGCACTGTTCTGTCTACTGTTTGGGTCATGCGGAATTTGCGCATGACCCGAAGTGGGCTGCCGAGCCGCGCGCGGCCCCAGCTTTGGGTCAATGTGCAGGTGTTGGGCGACTGACGTGCACGACCCACCCCCAACCAATCACCTGGCTGCACGATTCTATATTTACTGCCAGTTTTAGGCGGTCGTCAGTTGAGTGTCACATGTGGGCAATGTCCAACGTCTTACACCTCTGCACCCAACCACTCGGCAAATTGACCCCAGTAACCATGAGTGTGTCCAAAATTTCCCGCGTCGCGCTCCCAACATTTAGGGATTCACGTCGGGACTTTTGACGATTGTGTTTTTTTCGGTGGGTTTCGCGTGGTCTCGCTAAGGATCGTCCGAACTGTTTAGGCATCCTTCCATTGGATGCGACTGTTGTGGGGAGCGTGATTTTGGCGCGAAAACCCTCGCGGCTCTTTGGGGGTCGCATGAGTTCGGAGGACCCAAAGTGGCGTTTTATGTTGTTTGGGTCATCCGCAAATTGCGGATGCCCGGAACAGTGCTCATGACCCGAAGTTGGATACGCCCTTACTATTTCCGTTATCGAGTTCGCTTTCTACCCTCGAACTTCGGACCTGCCATAGCGTTGATCAACTACACGTGTCGTTCACGACTGGGTCCGAAACGCATACTTCTGGCTATGGCGACTCGAGCAGATAATGAGCTGCGTCCAGCTCTAGGCTTGAGAATGAAGGCCTATAAATCAGGCATTCAAGATGTCTTTCGCCATCAGCCCTTTCACAACATCGTTTCCCTCGCCGTTTCCACAGCTGCACTATCAGCGGGGTTGCTCTCATTCGTGCGACACTGATTGCGACGATCCCAGGCATCTCGAGAATGGCGATTAAGTCCTGGCTCCCCGCTGCGCGCAAGCTGCTGTCTCTCGCTCTCCTCGTGCTCCTCGCCGTCACCAGCGCCAGCGCAGCACGGCCCATGCTGCAGGCGTCATCGGCCACCGCAGCAGCCGCCGTCACCGGCGCTCGCACGTTCAGCTCTACCTCGGCCTTGGGATCTCCGCACAGGGTCGAGCGGGAAGTTGTTTAGCTGGGACGGGGTGACGGCGGATCAGATCATGGCAGGGAGCTTGGGCACAATCGAGGGTGTGTATGACGACGGCGAGGTGACGGTGAACTTGGTGGAAATTTTCATGAACGCGGGTTACAACGTGATGGTGATCAAGAAAACTAACTTGCACTTGGTGAATGGGGATCCGTCGTCCGCCGAGGTCAAAGTGGCACATTTCTTTTATGACCCGGTATTTGTGGTGTATTACAAGCAGGGTCCGTTCTCGGTTGAGAACATGGACGATGGCGGGTTTCAGAATTGGGCGTTTGGAGGGGTTTGGGAGAGGTATGGGGATAACAACAGGATTGTGCAGTTTAGTTGATGTGTGTTATAGAACTACTTGTTTATGGCGCTTCATGTGGTACTTTTACCACGAGAGACATGGTCTGATTGAGTGAAACTGGGGCGGTATAGTTGCTGGTTGCCTGCCTTGCCTTGCTTTCCAGACCTCAGAGAAGGCTTCATGGTGGTGAACTGATTCAGGGAGGTAGGGATATGTGGTCATATTCGATCTAAAACACTGTCATGGGTGTGGCAATAGCGGGTTATTGTATATTGCGACTTTGTTTTCTTGGGGCGCGTAACGTAGCCGAGATTCAATTGTCTCGACAATTTCGCGAATTGTTGTGCGACGTCGTACACCTACGGACTGCTGGTAGAATCCTGCCACTAAACTGGCCACAACTGTGGTTGAAACTGTTACGAACCACTGCACAGTGGTCAGGTTGATTGGCGACGAAAAAACAAGGTCTGGCGTTCCGGGACAATGTTCGTTCATTTCCAACCCCTGTTTCCGCTGTGTTCCCGAGCCGCTATTCCTTCCAAGAGATTGCGAAACTCATGTGCTGCGTTACATCTGAACAGTAAGCCGGGCAAGGGATGGGCCGTACCGTGGTGCCGAACCACTCCCCGAATCGTCCGTCTATTAAATTTTCATGATGCCTGGCTAAGTTACGCGCCCTTATTGTTAGGAAGGTTGGTTGTTCAGTGCTACGATGTATTTCATTCTTGACTGAGACTTCCATTTCAGCCAAAGCAAAACACGCGTTAGCTCTCTGCATTCATTCGCTGACACCCAAAGCGCGTTCCGTACAACTTGAGAAGCATTGACACGTTTCTAATCTCGCCACGTCAACACTCTGTGATGAGGTGACAAACAGAAGTGCCTGTTGTTTAGTGTCTATCCATGGCGCGATCCGTCTCAAAGTCGCCCCCTAGCAGACGCCGGAAATCGCGCTCCGCCTCCCGAACCCCCCCTCGCCGGAAATCCCGCTCCCCCGCCGGAATTCCCTCTTCCCGGCGGTCCCGGTCGCGATCCCTAACCCCTCCGCGATCGTCGGCGCGGCGCAGCCGGAGGGACGAGCGCAGCCCGTCTCCCGCGCGCAGGTGATTAGTTCCAGAATCAGGTGTTTATTTCCGCGCGCAGGTTATTACTCCGCGCGCAGGTGATACTTTTGCGCGCAGGTGCTTAGTTCCGCCCTCAGGTGATTACTTATGCGCGCAGGTAATCAACAGTCCGCATGTGGTCAATTTGGTCTCACGGTATTCGGAGATTAGTTCGTATCGCTGCTGAGATTTCCTCACATGTCTCACTTAAGGTTCTCACCGTTTCTAATCCCTTCTCACCTCATTCTCACCTCATACTCACCTCATCAATCCCCATTTTCACCTCATATCTCCCTACACTCGCCCGTACCCTCCAGGCGCAGCCACAGTCGCTCCTCTTCCCGCTCCTCTCTCTCCTCCAGCTCTCGCTCCCCCTCACCATCTGACGCTGCTGAGAAGGCGCGGGGGGAACGGCGGAGAGACGGGAGAGACGTGAAGGAGAGTAAAGAGAAGAAGGAGAAGAGGGAGAAGAAGGAGGGGTTAAAGGATAAGGAGAAGGAGAAGGAGAGGGAGAGGAGGAGGGCAGAGCGGGAGGAGGATAGGGCGAGGGAGGAGGAGGAAGAGGCGGAGAGGGAGAGGGAGAGGGAGAGGCAGACGGCAAGGGAGAGATGGAGGAGACTAGCTGAAGAGGAGGAGATAAAACGGTACGTAGATTTTTTTTGTTTCTGTTCTGATTGTGCTATTTTTTTCTGGACAGGAGCGCAAATAAGGAGCGACAGGAAGCAGGGGATGAAGGGGGAACGAGGTAGGAGAGGAGTGATGAGATGAGAGAAAAGAGGAGAGGTGAGAGGAGCGGAGAGGAGAGAGGAGAGGAGAGGAGAGAAGGGTGGATGCAAGTAAAGCACCACAAATATTACAAGGAGGCCCAAACCTCTGTTATGCTATGTCTTGTTGTCTTACTTGGCACTTGGTCCCGTTATCCCCTCATGTATTATTGCACATCACCTTTTGAGGCGCCTCAAAAGTCGTCTTTTGAGGCGCCTTAAGACTTGACACTTGGGTCCCGTTACCTCCTCTTGACTTCTTATCCGTCACCTCCTTCCATTTTCCGGTTTCTGTCCTCAATTGCGCCCATCTTTACCCCTGCATACCGCTTTAAACCGATCCAGAAAGGAGCAGGAGGAAGAGGAGAGGAGGGAGGAGGAGGAAATGGCAGTGCGAGTGGAGGCGGCGATAAGAGAAAGGGTCGAAGCGGAGTTGGCGTGTGAGCGGGTGCAGCAGCAGGTGGCAGCGATGGTGGCGGCGGGCAGGCAGAAGCTGAGGGAGGAGGTGCAGGCTCAGTTGGAGAGAGAGAAACTGGCGCTGTTGGCTGATGCCCGGCGGAAAGAGGTGAGTGGGGGATGGAGTGAGGGAGGGAGGGAGGGAGTGAGTGAGTGAAGGAGGGAGGGAGTGAGGTAGAGAGTGGGGGAGTGTGCTTCTGTAAATCGCTGTGAGACCTTCAGGGCAGAACTTGAAGTGGCAAGAGGAGTTGGATCAGTGTGTCTGTTTCTATTCCCCTTCCAACATTTTGTGTTGCTTGTTTCTCTTCTTTTGTTCTTTCTTTCTTGCGATGATGCTACAGGAGCAAAAGCGGAGGGAGCAGGAGGAGTTGGAGAGAATGTTGGCGGAGAATCAGAGGAAGGTGGAGGAGGCACAGAGGAGAGCAGCGGAGGAGAGGGCCAGGGAGGAGGGGCTGAGACACAAGGAGCGAGAGGCAGTCAATGCGGTGGGGTGGAGAGTGTAGTGAGTGTGTGAGGGAGTGGGAGGAGTTGGATGCATGGATGTAAAGAGGAGAGCAGCGAAGGGGAGGGCGAGGGAAGGGGGCTCGGGCACAAGGAGCAAAAGGCAGTGAGTGCTGTGGGGTCTAATGGATGGGAGGAGTCAGATGCATGGATGCATGTACCGTAACATACTGTCCACCTTTAGTCAATGTACAGATCAAGACTGAAAACATCAGTGTGGGTATCAGGGCTCTTGCTAGGATTTGGGCTTGTCTGAAAACACCTAGGTAAAAAATCGTTCCGTCTGACGATCAGACGGGCATATTTTTCTGGTCTGATTTTCTAGATGAATGGTGGAGCTTAGTCTGATTTTTCAAACTAATTAATTTGCATAGTCTGATTCAGCTAACACCCTTGTCTAGCATAATCACACTTGTTTTGTTAATGAACGCGCCCCTGGCGCGGCGCTGACAGCTCGCTAGCTGACAGGCGTGTGACTGTTGAGGGGCATGCACGTGGCATTGAGGTGCTGCGAGGGATCAGGTTGGGTGGAGGGACGCGAGAAGGAAGGGGGGGGCTGGGCTGTTGCGAGACTTCACGAGGGGCATGGGGAGGGGACCTGGGGAGGGGACCTAAGGCTGGAGGGAAGGGGGAGAAGGTCTGGACTAGGCCTGGAAGAGGAGCGAGGGCATCGAAAGGGGGCTTAGAGAAGCGAGGGATCGAGGGGGGGGGGGGGGGGGGGGGGGGGGGGGGGGAGGGGGGGGAGGGTTCCGGTATCAGACGAATTGCAACCCGCTATCTGAAATTTCACACTAAGTATAAGGCTTTCTCTGAAAAATCATATGAACTAAATTTCGTAATCTTACGGATCAGACGAAGTAAAAATCCTCGTCTTGAAAATCAGATGAAACCCAAAATCAAGGTCTGAAAATCAGAAAATCAGACCAATTTGGTCTGATAACGAGAGCCCTGGTGGGTATGTGCACTATGAAACAGATTCTCACACTGGATCCTAATTTTTGTTTAATTAGTGTAAGATTTCAACTTCAGGGCCCCAGTTCTGGGAAGACTACGAAGCTTTAAACTGAAAGCTTGCAGTATGCATAATACAGTTGGGCCGCTTTCAGCACCTTGTAAACCAGGTCACACACACACGCCTTGTTAGCAAGAAACTGTCGCATCGCGTTGCCAGGTTGATGACTTGCATTGCACATCATTCAAATTTAGGTTGATGCCAAAAAGTGGTGTCTTACACGAATGGAGGAAGAAACAAGTGATGAATTAGCTATCATATGACTCAAGAACGCTGACAAAAGGTGTTTATCATTCCAAACCAAATTTGTAATCGTAATCGGAAATCATCATGTTGAGACAGCTAGTACAAACGCGGAAATGAAGCGATTGTCATGAGTTTTGCTGACATGCTTTCTCCAGCTGGCTTTTCATAGGCTCACAGAACAGCAACTGGCGTTACAGGGATGATGGCTCCAGAGCTCGGAAGAGGGGGTGAGGGAGAGAGTCGAAGAACTTGGGATGGCATGGCATAGCATGGCATGGGATGGTACGGCATGCGATACCATACCACATCGAGAACCTCCTGTAATTGCGCGGCGAGGTTTGAAAATCAGGGATGGGGGGAAGCAGATTCAAATTCGAACCCCTTAGTTTCGCGGGTCAATCGGTGGTTGGAGCAGTCGCATAGACCAATGTGCGAAGGGTTTCGCTGATGGATAGCACGGCGGCGGCGGCTCGAGAACTTATGAACAATTCCCAGCCGCATGCGACGAGGGTTCTACAGATCATGCGACGGCGGATCCTGCAGAGGAACGAATCAACCGTCACATTCAGGTGCGTGCCAGACATCAACGGATGACACCGAGATAATGTTGGAAGCGAGATAGTCGCACAGAAGGGCATCATCGCATGAAGGAAGGTGCAGATCCCCGCAACCAATCGGCAGCTAATGAAGCGACCAAACCATCGCCATACGTAGTACACGAGAGGCGCTCTACCGTCAAGCTCTAGGGATCTGGTGCTTCACTCCACATCCCTCCATCCCCTCGCCATTCCCGCCCAACTTCCCATGCTCCGCAAATGTTTTATTCTTTCCCCAACCCCACCGCCCGTCAAACCTAAATAGCTCACCCAACACCTCCTTTCCACCTTTTCGTCTTCTTCTGGCCGAATCACGAACAACATTTCCCATACAACCATCCTACAATTCCTCACTCCGGTTTTCTGGACAGGTAGCTAACTGTCCCTCAGTCCCTTCGAGCCGAGCATCCTGGTCCTGGTTTGGATCGGAAGCAACTAACTTTTAGCTGCTTGTAAGTTGTTTTCTCCGTGATTCACAGGCCAGAGATGATTATGGCTTCGGTACGCGTTTCCCTCCCTAGGTGATATCTCGACCATGCAACCATTTCACAATCTCTCAACCACAGCCTTCTAACACAGAAATCACCCAAAGACCAAACTGTACCCCGTAGTTCGTTCCGTTCACCTGCAGCAAGCAAAATCCTCAAGCCATTTACCTCGAATCCATCGCAACGACAGCGACCGACTCAAATCGTGCATCTTGTTTCATCTCTAGGAGCCGCTGACGTGAGCTCGTGGGTGTGTGGTGGTGAGTAGGCCAATATTGACGAACCACGCCATAGCATCAACTCATAATCCATGGCCACGCGATGGATGCCGGCACACTCGCGAAACGACAGAGCGGCGTCCAAACCCGCAGCATGCGGAGGCGGACAATCGACGAGCACTCGAGGAGGAACCTCCACTCGCGGATCAAGCTTGGCTGAAGCGTCGAAGTCTGCAGCGGGTGAACCCGCGAAAGTATCAGCGGGTACACCCTCGGGAATATCAGCAGGTCGCGGAGCCGGTCGGGGTGTTGGGAGAGGAGCAGCAGCGGCCGATACGCCCGCCGGACGGGGTCGAGGCAGCACGGGTATCGGACGTGGCGACGCCAAGATGGTCGGGCGAGGGGGACCAGTCGCGGGAACCGCCCGGGGGAACTTCGCGGGCGGCCAGGCGGAACCCGCGCGGCAGATCGGCGCTCCGCATGTGTTTCCGCGCATGGGGCGCGGGGATATCCGGCGCGCGTACACGCTCGGGCGGGAGCTGGGGAAGGGCGGAGGCGGCGTGGTGCGCGAATGCCTGGACCCGTTGACGGGCGAGCCCGTGGCGGCCTGCAAAACCATTCCCAAGTCAAAGCTCCAGGTACCGACACGTAGTAACGTTGCGATCGAAAAGTGTATTTCCCCGCCGTCCCTCGTTCAAACCTATCACCGCAATCCGTAGACCGTCTCACCTACCCGCAATCCGAGACGCGCTCAGCTGCTCACCCCCCCCCTCCCGCCAGTTCGTTCCCCGGTTCCTAACTTTCCCCATTTCCCCCTCCGCCTTATCCCAATTTCCCCAATTTCTCCGCCGTCCTCCGATTTCTCCGCCTCCCTCCAGCGCCCGGACCTGGTGGAGGAGCTGCGCGCGGAGGTGGCGGCGATGCGGCGGCTGGCGGGGCACGCGCACGTGGTGCGGCTGCTGGCGGTGTACGAGGACGACCACGCGGTGCACGTGGTCATGGAGCTCTGCACGGGTGGCGATCTCTACGACTTACTGACGGCTGCCACCACACTTCCAGAGCCCATCGCTGCGCAGCTGACAAGGTACAATCAGTCCTCCATCTGCACTCACCCATCTGCTTTCACCCACATACACACGTGGTGCGGCTGCTGGCGGTGTACGAGGACGACAACGCGGTGCACGTGGTCATGGAGCTCTGCTCTGGCGGGGACTTGTACGACTTACTGACGGCTGCCACCACGCTTCCGGAGCCCATCGCCGCGCAGTTAACGAGGTACGATGAGACCAGTGAATCACCCGCACTCACTTGCACCCATAAGGCTGCTAGCGGCTGCTAACGCCTGCTGGCGGTGTACGAGGACGACCACGCGGTGCACGTGGTCATGGAGCTCTTCTCTGGCGGCGACTTATACGACCTGCTTACCGCTGCCACCACGCTGCCCGAGCCGATCGCGGCGCAGCTGACAAGGTACGTTAAGACCACTCCATCTGCGCTCACCCACGTACCATGAGTCCCAGCTATCCCAGTCCGTCTGTACGAGGAGAGGACGACCACGCTGTGCACGTGCTCATGGAGCTCTGCACTGGCGGCGACTTGTACGATCTGCCAGCCCATCCGCACGAACCGCACCGATGTAGCGGTGCGCGTGCGCTCAGTGGTGTGATAATAACGCTGTCTTTGCCATGCTGTTGACTCGTCGCAACAGTTGCTGCTCTTCCAGCCCGAAAATGCACGTCGATTTAGTCTCCAACTCGTCGTCGTTCTCCCGTTTGAATCACTTTTTTTCCTGCAGTCAAATCCTGAAGGCGCTAAGTCACTCCCATCGCAACGGCATCCTGCATCGCGACATCAAGCCGGAGAATATCCTACTAGCGAACCCGGTAACTGTACAAGACGTGCAGGTCGCGATCATCGACGCTGCTGTACCCGCGACAGGAGCAACAGCGAAAATGGAAGGCGAAACGGTTTCTACAGTACCAGCATCTGATTCTCACGCGGAAGATGAGATTATGCGCGATGTGAATATAAGCGGCGGGCCTGTCAGCAGCACTGTAGCATGTGCGGGTGGTGGGTTCGGTGACTCGCCCAGCCCCTCTACAAGCACACTCAGTACGAGTGTAATTAGTAGTACACCCAGTAGCATGTTTATGTCATCGGGTAGCGCCAGCACCGCCAGCAGCAGCTTTGGGGCGAAAGGTGGGTTGCTGCGGGAAGGGGGGCGCGGAACAGAGGAGGGGGATGGGGAAGAGGAGGGGGAGAGGGCGGAAGGCGCGGGGAACGCCCTGCATGTTAAGCTTGCGGATTTCGGGCTGTCTGTTGTGCTTAAAACGGGGCAGCTTGCAGTGGGTATGCATGGCAGCAACGTGTATATGGCGCCAGAGGTGGTGTGCAGGAAACCGTACGGTTTGGCGATTGATTTATGGGGTCTTGGAGTTATCCTCTTTACAGCGCTCTCCGGTTACATGCCCTTTTGGGGTAACACGGATGAAGAGCTTTTCGTCCGTATCCTGCGCGGCCGCCCGGATTACGCCAGCGATCCGTGGCCGTCGATTAGCGCGGAGGCAAAGGATCTGGTCCATCGATTGCTCACAATTGATCCACCGCGTCGGATCACTGCTGACGTGGCGCTGCAGCACCCGTGGATCTTGAAGCATTGCGGTGCATCTGCACCGTCCATTCCAGCATCTCTGGGCGAGCCTGCTGGCGTCAATCCCAAGGCACCTTCTCACCCATCCCCAGCTGCAAAGGTTCACTCTACCTCCATGAATGCTCCATTGTCTGAAGATTCTGCTTCGGTTGCAGCTCAATCTCCTGCTCATTCCGCTGCTGCGTGTATTTCCGCGTCAGTGTCAGCTGCACCTGCTGCTGCCGCTGCTCCGGCCGCCCCTGCTGCTGCTGCTGCTGCTGCTGCTGCTGCTGCTGCTGCTGCTGCTGTTGATCTTTCCGCAGCAGCTACTCCTGCCTCTCATAGAGCACCATCCCCCATTCGCCGCCAGCCCTCGCCCATCCGCCGGCCGCCTTCACCTGCCAAGCGACCAGCCTCCCCAGCCAGGCGTGGCACCGCTGCTGCTGCACCTGTTGCTACTGCTGCAGCTGCCACCGGTGCCGCTGGTGCTAAAGCGACTGTTGCCCCAGCTGCTGCCAGAGCTTCTGCTGGAAACAACGCTGCTGCTGCGAAAGCATCTGCAGTGTCACCGCGCTACCCCTCCAAGACACGCTCTGCAACCACCCAGGTGGCTGCTGCCAGGGCTTCAGCCGCTGCTGCTGCCCGCGCTGCTGCTGCTGCCGCTAGAGGCGCCTCTGCTTCTGGTGTGTTTGCTCCCACTGCTGCTGCTGCTGCTGCTGCTGCTGCTGCTGCTGCTGCTGCTGCTGCTGCTGCTGCTGCTACTCCAGCACCCACCGCTGCCGCCGCCGCTGGTGCTGCTGTGCGTTCAATGAAGGCGCCCGGTGCGCCCACCACACCACTGCTGCCCAGCCGCACACGGGCAAACGTGCCGGCTAACAATAACAGGGCTGCTGCTGGCTCCTTTGGAAAGCGTTCCAATGTCGAGGATATCCATATGCACACGGACACGAATGCACACCAGCAGCAGCCGCAGCAGCAGCAGCAGAGGCGGAATCACGAGTCCAAGTCCTCCCCTGCACATTCTCCCACCATCTCCTCCGCTTCCTCCGCTGCCTCCTGTCCCACGCCCTTCACTCTCCCCCACTCCGCCGCTCTGCCCACTCCCCATCCCGCTCATACCGCCACCCCTCTGCCTGCCACGGCTGCTGCTGTTTCTCTGAGCGCACCTATGGGCGCGGTCTCTCTTCCATCACCCTTGCCTGCTGTGACCCAACCTGAGGATATTAATATTGATCCATCCCGAGGATCTGCTGTGACCCATCCACAGGATATTGATTTTGTTGCCCACCCAGCAGTCTTCACTGCTATGTCTCACCCACCAGTCACAGCCTTCACTGCTGCTTCCCTCCCAGCAGCTATCACCGTCCGCCCTTCATTTGTCAAGCCCATGCCTCCGCCCTCGCAGCTTGCTTCGGCCGGGCCTCCTCCAGCAGCTTTGGCCGCTGCTCACGCATCTGCTTCGGCAACAGCTTTGGCGACAGGTTCGGAACCAGCCTTGACAAGTGCATCGACGCCAGCAGCTTCCGCGCCTGTGGTGGGCGGTACGAGTGGGGGAGTCACAGATTCTGTTGCATCTGCATGTGAAGAGCAAACTGCCGCGGCCGTGGTGCCTTCTTCTCTCTACTTCACTCCTGGTACTTTTGCTGCAGAAGCAGCAACTGTGCCAGCGGCAGGAGCACTAACAGCAGCTGCAGTTACAGCAGCAACAGAGTCCACAGTTCCGCTTCACCCCATTGCTGCCATGTCTGTTGATCATCCGTTTTCCGTCTCCTCGCCAGCAGCAGCACCAACGTCACATACACCCGCCCCACCTGCTCCTACCCCACATGAGCCGACCCCACTTGCGGCTACTGCACATGAACCCACCTCCATCGGGTCTGCTGCCTTAGTTGAACCTGCTATTGAGCCTTTGAGGCGTGCCTGTAGAGCACACAAGGGCCGCACGGGGGTGTTCCGAGTGTCATCTGGTAGGAGGAGAGACGCTCATGCAACAGCCGCCCCAGCCCCCTCTGCTTCTGTTCCTAGTGCCACCGCTGCTGGTGCCGCTGCTGGTGCTGCTGCTGGTGCTGCTGCTGGTGCTGCTGCTGGTGGTGCTTCTGGTAGTGGTGGTGGGTCCTTTGGTTCTGCTAGTGGTGCCATGGCCAGTGCTACTAGCAAGCTCGCCTCTCTTTTCTCCCTGGGTGCCGCACCTGCAGCCAAGGCACGGAAGAATGCTGCCGGAGCTGGCGTTTCAGGTTCGGGAGTGCCAGGTTCGGGAACGTCTGCGCTGTTCCGAGCCAGGCCGTCGGGCCTGAGCAGCCCGTTCACGTTCTTCTCTCCCAAGAGGAAGATCCGAAAGTCGCAAGTGGTTGTGAACAGTGCTGCAGCTGCAGGGGTGGCAGTTGCGGGCGGCGCTAGTGGGGGAATGGATATGGCTGTGGATGGGACTGATGGGCCTGGGGAGGAGGAGGAGGAAGAGGAGGAAGAGGAGGAGGAGGTGGAGGAGGGAGAGGGTGAGGGAGAACAGGAGCAGCAGGAGGGTGAAGTGGGAGGGAGAGCAGATTTGGCTGGGTACAATAGTGCAGTGCTGAGTGCTGCAGCTGCTGCTGTGCTGCACACCCACTTGAACGGCCAGAATGAAAAGCTGCAGCAGGGGAAGAACCAATCGCAGCCTCACCAGCCTTGGCAGAGGAACGGGATGATCTGCAGCCTCGGCAGCACTGGAGCTGCGAGCAGCGTCGGCACCATAGCTGAGTTCCGGGCTCGGTTGTCCCCGGCGGTCACTCTTGACCGAACCGCCGCTCCCGAGCCTGTGGCGGTGTATTCGAGCACAGGAGGCGTGCTGCCAGCTGTCAGCGCAGCATTGGGTGGAGGGCAAATGGGGCAAAATCCGGAAGCAGAGGGTGGGATGGAGAAAGGAGGGATGGAGGTTGATGGAGCGACATGTGAAGGAGGCATGTTGGATGTTGTGACAGCCTTTTCAATTCTCAGGACTAACTCTATACATGGTGGTGCTGCTGCTGCTCTATCAGCAGAAGCACCACAAGCAGTAAGAGAGGCCACTGGTGTAGCCACAGCTAGTGGCAAGCCAGAGGCACTTGCAGGTTCGCATCTCGCGGGGGCTGCAAGAGATAACAGGAGTTTGCTTGGGAGGCATAGTGCTTCAGGGCGGTTCAAGCATCTCTTCTCAGGACACTAAAGCAGCTGATGTTACACAGATGGATATTGAATGTGTATGGATATTTATTATTCTTTTCTTAATCGAATAAGCTTGAACCACTGTTCTTGACATTACCGGACTGAACGCTTGATTTCTGAAGGCATACATCACTTTTGCACGTAATGCGGTGAAGCCATCAATGCAAGGAATTGTAATTCCTTATTGTACTCGCACTTTAGCGAAAACTTCCTGAGGGTTACACGTCATTCCCGTTCGGCCTATTTCGTTGCCCCAAACGCGTCACACCCGAGTCGCCCCCGTTCTAATAGCATCCTTTTCGACCCATCTTCGCCCGACCTTCCCGCCTAGTTAGGAAAACCCCCATTTAGTCTCGCCACTGTCATTGTATCGTCATTCTGCAATTCAGAGTATCGTTATTTGTTAACCCGTGCACTCTGGAAGTTCATTCATAACAATCAACCACTATCTTTGCTGGTTACATATGTTGTTCAATAACCATGCTGTCGCGAACATCCATCGCCTCGCATTCCGAAGAAAAGCTTTTCCGAGAAGGCCACGTTTCACGGCTTCGGGTCCCTGCCACGTCCAATCCAGGTTGAAAATGCACTTCGTCACCCTGCCACGTCTGCAATCCGCACATCTCCAACCAGCCCTCGATCCTCTCCAATCCAACCTAATCCGTCCGCCCCGACTGCGCGTTCCTAGAATCTCCGCTTCCCCTAACTCCCCCAATCAAGGCGAAACGCCTTTCCGTCCCCGCGCATCCGTTCCTCCCACATCGCTAATTCTGCGCTCTTCCAAGCGCACCACTTGCTCCCCTTGCATACCGTTCCCTCCGCTCCCCTCACTTCCCCCGTTGCTCCCCCTCACCATCCCCTGCGCACCCGTTCCACCCCTCCGCTCATCCCCACCCGCTTCGCCTCCTTCTCCTTCCGCCTTTTCTATCACACATCCTTGCGTTCACCCCTCTCCCTCTCCCCTCCCGCCCTCGCTCCAGGGTGTTTCTTTGCTCGTTCTCCAAAAATCTCCAAGTTGGTAGTTAATTACTGACCTTGGGAAGGAGGCAGTAGCGGTCGTTTAGACCAGCGAGAGAGAAAGAGAGCGAACCGCAGCTCGAAACTTTCCGCCTGTAACCATGGCTGCCATTGAAGCCACCCCGATGCTCCAGTCTCTCCGCCTCGACGCCGCGCTCGCAGCGCCGTCGCGCGCGACCGTGCCCGCCTCCTCCTTCGTCTGCCCGCAGATTAGCCTCCGGTCAAGCCGCGTCCTTAGCGGACGGCGAGTGGCGGCGGCGGAGCGGTCCGCGGTAGCTGCGCGCGTGCAGGCGGTGGCGGAGCTGTTCCCGTCCGTGGAGGGCGCGGAGGACGCGGGGGAAGCGGAGGAGGTTGAAGCGCCCGTAGTGAAGGCGAAGACGGGGAAGAAGGCGCTTTTGTTCAAGAGGGACCAGGTGCGAGACGGAAACAGATTCAGCGTTAGGGTTTCGTGTAGCTGTCTGATAAAACATAGGTTTAGCTCGAATGCGGTGCTCCTTCGGTGAGGGTCACGACAGGAAGAAGGCGCCTGTGTTCAAGAGGGACCACGTGCGAGCCAGAGCAAATTTCAGTGATAGGGTTTCGTGTAACTGTCCGATAAACTCTAGGGTTAGCCAGAATGCAATGCTCCTTTAGTGAGCGACAGGACGGGGGAGAGTTCGCTTGGGTCTTCAGAAGGACGTTGTTCTCGCAGAGGGACGAGTGGCACAGGGTTGGAGAGGGATCAGGAGCAAGACGGAGCATATTCATTGTTCGGGTTTCGCGCGGCTTATTAAATGATGCTGGTCAGAGCTCCTACCTGAGTGTGCAGAGTCAGTTGAAATGTGCTGCATTGCGCTGCGCATGCCAGCATTTTCGGAGGGCTCTGTGCGCGCGGCAGAGCATATTTGGGTTTCTGTATCAACCTTCTCGTTTAGCATGGATGTTGTTTACCTTACTCGTCCACGCACTGTTCCGGCGCAGCAGAGAAAAGGACCGCGGCACAAGAGTAACGGTCGCCAGTGTTTCTCGAAAGAAATGTCGGCTCTCGCAGCTCACATTCCCCGAGTTTCTAGTTTCAGGCCCGATGTAGCGCCTCGAGTACATCTCCAGCCGTCCGGAACCTCGGTGTAAGCGGATAGCGGCCCGCATGTGAGCTGGAAACTAAGAAGTCGAATATTTGGAACCTTTTTTTTTTTTTTTTTTTTTTTTTTTTCAGATTGTGCGGGGACGTTTCTGTAACGAGGGGACGGATCGGATTCATGGCTGGTTCTCTCTGTATAGCCTCCGTGATAACGAGGCGAGCGAGGAAGGCTACATTTTTCGTTGTAAATTCCGGACAACTACAATAATATGATTGCGTCAGTGCATTCGTATCGCACCCTCCTCTCTCTGCCTCACTTACAATCCCGCCAATCCTCAGACCCGATCGAAGCGGTTCTTGGAGATTCAGAAGCTGCGCGACCGCAACAGCGAGTACGAGCCGGCGGAGGCGCTCGAAATCGTCAAGGCGAGCTTGAGACGTCTTAGAACGAGCTCGTCATGACAACCTCTGTGCGTCGAGCTACCCGCTCATTTCCCGCACCCGTCGCTTCCTCTGCCGATCCTACCCTCTTCCTCCCCGCTCAAACCTCTCCCCATGACAGACCCGATCGAAGCGGTTCTTGGAGATTCAGAAGCTGCGCGACCGCAACAGCGAGTACGAGCCGGTGGAGGCGCTGGAAATCGTCAAGGCGACGGCTTCCGTCAAGTTTGACGAGTCCGTCGAGGCGCACTTCCGCCTCAACATCGACCCGAAGTACGCCGACCAACAGCTGCGCGCCACGGTGAGCAGCGAGGTTACATTTAGCGGGGATTTAGTTAGCGGGGATTTAGTTAGCGGGGATGTTGTCCGAGTGAAGTGGTCGAAGGGAGGCGCACTGTAGGCGAATCATTGATTGAAAACACGCCGAACAGCCGCTGCTCGCCGCCGCGTCTAAAGATGAGATGCTCTTAGCGGGAATATTGCAGTAGAGAATGCAGGCAGAATGGTTTCGTGTCGAAGCAAGAGGAGGACCCATGACTCTGTCGAGGCGGCTCGCGTTCGCCTCATCATTGGTCCCTGCGCGCCACTGCGGGCAAAAATGTTGCTGTTAACGGGGATGGCAATCTGCAGCTCGTGTAAGCCTCGGGGCGGGCAAATCACTCTATGATGACCACTGCCCGCGTGAAGTGTTCGAGTGTTTCATCTTGCTGCGTATCTCCCTCCCACCTCTGCTGTTTCATCTTGTTTTAACGCGATTCGTTTCATCTCCCCCCTTACCCCCTCGACTCCCACGACGTATTTCTGTTCAAGGGAACCGGCCAGGTGGTTCATGTTGCAATGCTCCTTCCTCTCCTTACCTCGCCTTCGTGCCGTCTCTTCTTTCAACCTCTCCTCTTCTCCTCTCCCCCTGTCGCCCCCGTCAGGTGTCTCTGCCCAAGGGAACCGGCCAGGTTGTTCGGGTTGCTGTGCTCACCCAAGGTATGTCTCCGTTTTGTTACCACGAATCACCTGTTGGTTCATTGTCATCATTACCAACAGGCTTTTCAGAATGATTTTATGCACCACGGGACAAATGCCTTTTGTCGTTTTCTTACTCTCGGAACCCTCTTCCATCTTACAGCCCCTGTGCTGCCTTTGTTTCTCCCCGCTTCCCCCCAACCCTCCCCCACCTCCCCACTCCGCACCCCCCCACCCCACCCTCCCCTTTCCCCCTGTCCCCCCATGCGCGCAGGAGAGAAGCAGAGGGAGGCGACGGACGCGGGTGCGGACGTGGTGGGCGCGGAGGATCTGATTGAGCGCATTGCGGGCGGCTTTCTCGAGTTTGACAAGCTCGTCGCCACCCCCGACATGATGCCCAAGGTGCGTTGCGTTGCTTGCTCCCAGCTGCTGCCGGGTCGTAGCTGGGGCAAATTAGCAGGGCGGACATGGTGGGCGCGGAGGATTTCTCTTCGTCATCCGCACGACTTTTGAGTCGACTCAAAAGTCAACTCGGTATGATGTCACACGGTGTTTTCTCTACACGCAGGGCAATTTTAGCTTGGAGTTTACCAAAACGAGTTGGTAATTATCTTATTTCAGCTCATAAGTGCTAGTTTACTGTAGATCTGTTTTCTACTGTTTTTCATCTAGCTTTCCCCCACCTTCCCTGGCCACGCGGAGGAATGCCTCGCGATTGAGCCCTAGGGGTTGGTATTTAGCCTAGCTTGCTTCTCATTCTGACCTGTGGTCTGAAGAAGGCTCGAAGAGCCGAAACTAGTTACCACCAATTTTTCTACACAAGGTTTTTTTACAAGCAAGCAAAAACTTAACCTAAGCATCTGTTTGCTAAGAACAGCCGCTGCCACGCTAGCCATGGCTCCTACTTGGGGCTCCATTGGTCTCTCTGTTGATACTGCTGCGATGGCCGGCTATAAATTTAACGCAAACGAAACTACTACCACTACATCCAACACCAAGGCTGACCGCGCCCCGTATATTCCAAAGCCACCGAGAGCTTCGCGAACAAATTCGCAGCCAGGCTTGGATAAAGGGCCGGTCTTTCAATGGGACAACCCACAAGATCCTTCAGTTTCCCGACATTGCAAAAAGAGAGCTCTTGAATCTCCTGGTGCTACTCTTGCCAAGTCGGTCACCGTTCCTGGAATTATCCCCGTCGCCATGGCTAATCAGTCTACTTCGACGGTTCGGGAGCAGGAAGCTGGTGTTCGGATCCATGAGAACATTGGTCTTCGTGACGACATCATGTCCGATTCCATTGATTTCCTTGGTGCTTTTAACGTTTCATTTCTGGAAAAGCAGGCTACTCCGGCCTATTTTACTACCCTGAAATCTCAAGCGATTAACGACTTCAAGAAGCAATTCGTGAAATATCGCACTCTGCTGCAGCAGTACACTTTCATGGTCGAGCAGAAGAAGGAAGGGATTATTCCTCACTCCATCTGTATCAAGTCTTTAATTTCATCTGCAATGCCGAAGACATTCGTCAGGAAGCAGACAAAGACCTTGAAGCGGCTAAGCTGGCTTATTGCCGTAATGCTCAAGACATTTTAATCACCATGAAGAAGAAAGCTGCAGACCAAGCCTTCAGTGATGTTTCGGCGATTTATAATTCATTGGTTTTCCACATCGACAATTTCATCAATTTGAACAAGAAGTCAGACCTTGGTTTTAAGAATCCAAGGATCTTCGACAGCCTTGACTTTTTTAAGATAAAGGTGTTGGCTGAGTTCAAGGAAGCCGTGTCGCTGTTTTACCTGGAGACCAATATGGCTGAAGTGCACATGAAGCAGAAGAAAGATGACCTCGATGCTAAGAAGAAAGCTGCAGTCGTCGAAGCTGAGAATCTGCCGGTTGAGCCTACTGTCCGTGAGATCGCTCGCCAAGAAGTACAGAAAGTGCTGAAATCGTCAACTGCGAAGTCAACTGCTAAGACATCCAGCAACAAGAAGGATAAGGTTTCTTTTTCTGGGAAGTCTAAGTCTCGTACTAACAAATCCGGCGTTCATGTCAGGAAACCTGCTGCTGCTAACGGCTCAAAGCCTCGTCAGGCTTCTAAGCTTTCTAAGACCAGCAACGACAAGGGTTCCCGTCATAAGAGCAAAGGTGCTGCGAGCAACGGCAAGGGTACTGCTAGCAACGGCAAGGGTGCTGCTAACAACAGCAAGAAGCAGAAAACCGAAGAAGCCGAACGTACCGCTGTGAAGACGGTTGGCCGTTCTTACTCAAAGTCGGCAGTGCGCAGCAGCTCTAAGCCTGGCAACCGAAACGCATTTGCATAAAAAAACGGGGGAGGAGGAGGCCACGCAAAAACGACTCGGCAGTAGTGACTGATGTTCACTCCTACGCACTGATACTGTTTGGACGAGTGACGGAGTATCAGTTGCAGTGCCGAATCACCAACCGCGGACTCCACAATTACAGCAATCATACCTTCTCTAAACCTGAGCTCGACCTTTTATCTTTAGGACTGAAATTCATACCTGTTCCTGTCATTCGCACAGTCGCTAGCCTTGAAGCCGAGATTTCTTCTTTTCTTAGAAATGTTCGTACCATGTTTCTCTTGGATCTGATTCTTCCGTTTACTCATGGTATAAGCTACCTAAACGAGAAAACTGGGATCCACCGGCAGCTTCACCTGAAGTTGAAACTGCGCTGGAGGTCTTTAAGGAAGCAGCTATTAAAGAAGTTACTGGACAGAATTTTTCTTCGCTAACGCGGAAATCTAAGAACGTGCTACCAACTTTAAGACGACTTGCCAATAATCCTAACATCATCTTCAAACCTGCAGATAGGAACCTGGGCTTGACAGTGATGAGCAGAGAATACTATCAGGAAAAATGCCTGGAACACCTGCTCAACGACAAAGTCTATAAGGAGTACTCTGCAGTTCCGGTCTCTGATATACTTTACGAGCTACATACTATTCGCTCGGATTGGGACCCGCTGATTAAATCTAAGATCTGGAATTCTTTTTTCGATCGGCCTAAGAACGGCTGGAAGGTGCCAGCGTTCTACATACTGCTGAAAATTCATAAAAAGGTTCCTGCTGGGAGGCCTATTGCTGCCTGCCACTCCTGGATCACTACTAACGTATCGCGTTGGCTGGATTCTATTCTACGGCCGCTTGTGCTAAGACAGCCGACCTACGTTAAAGACTCTCAAAGTCTCATTCTTCAACTAGAGCAACGCTCTTTTTCATCCAACCTGCTGCTGGCCTCTTATGACGTCGAGTCGTTATATCCGTCAATCCCGCTTTGGGATGGCATTGATGCTGTCGCCTACTTTTTACAGAAGGAGCGGCACCCTCTTGCGCCAGTCATTACTCGTCTTCTTCGATGGGTGATGTTTAACAGCTACGTTTCTTTCAACGGCCGTTTTTTCCGTCAGATTCAAGGCACTGCCATGGGTACTTCGGTGGCCGTTTGCTTTGCCGTGCTGTTTCTCAGTTATCTGGACATTCAACTTCACGCGTCGCTCAAACTCACTCCCGCTCTTCATCTTCGCTTTATTGATGACGGGCTAATTCTCTGGGAGGGAACAAGAGCGGAGTTCGAATGTTTACGGCAACGGTTTGATTCACTTCATCCTTCCATCCGACTGACATGGGTTGTTTCGGAAACCACAATGGATTTTTTGGACTTGACAGTTTTTAAGGGGCAGAGATTCTCGACTTCTGGTACTCTCGACATGAAGCTGTATCAGAAGCCGATGAACCGGTATTTGTACCTGCCTTTTAAGTATTATCACACTCGGTCTACTAAAGTCGGCTTCATCCGGAGTGAGCTACAAAGGTTTCTCTTACGCTCCTCCTCCCGTACTGACTTTCTCAACTCCCGCGCTTTATTCTTCGCTCGTTTACGAGCACGTGGGTACCCGGAGAAATTTCTCCTCCCAATCTTCAAGTCAGTCCTCTTCGCTAACCGTGAGGAACTACTCCAGCGTGCCTCTGCTATCCCTAACTCCCAAACCCGTGGCCCCCTGGTGCTGAAACTTCTGCTCAACCCGCTGGTTGACCGTTCGCGCCTGGGGAACATTTTGAGTCGACTCAAAAGTCAACTCGGTATAATGTCACACGGTGTTTTCTCTACACGCAGGGCAATTTTAGCTTGGAGTTTACCAAAACGAGTTGGTAATTATCTTATTTCAGCTCATAAGTGCTAGTTTACTGTAGATCTGTTTTCTACTGTTTTTCATCTAGCTTTCCCCCACCTTCCCTGGCCACGCGGAGGAATGCCTCGCGATTGAGCCCTAGGGGTTGGTATTTAGCCTAGCTTGCTTCTCATTCTGACCTGTGGTCTGAAGAAGGCTCGAAGAGCCGAAACTAGTTACCACCAATTTCTCTACACAAGGTTTTTTTACAAGCAAGCAAAAACTTAACCTAAGCATCTGTTTGCTAAGAACAGCCGCTGCCACGCTAGCCATGGCTCCTACTTGGGGCTCCATTGCCCAAGGTGCGTTGCGTTGCTTGCTCCCAGCTGCTGCCGGGTCGTAGCTGGGGCAAATTAGCAGGGCGGACATGGTGGGCGCGGAGGATTTCTCTTCGTCATCCGCACTCCCTCTCCCCCACTCCCTCTCCCCCACTCCCGCTCCCCCACTCCCTCTCCCCCACTCCCTCTCTCCCACTCCGTCTCTCGCTCTCCCGCACTCCCTCTCCCCCGTTCCCTCTCCCCACTCCCTCTACCCCACACCCCCTCCCCCACTCCCCCTTCCCAACTCCATCTCCCCACTCGCTCTCCCCCACTTCCCCTTCCGCGCTCCCTCTCCCCCACTCTCTCTCCCCCACTTCCTCTGCCCCATACCGTCTCCCGCACTCCCTCTCCCCCCTTCCCTCTCCCCCACTCCCGCCCCCCCACTCCCTCTCCCCCCTTCCCTCTCCCCCACTCCCGCCCCCCCACTCCCTCTCCCCCATTCCGCCCCCCCCCGACCCATACTCCCTCTCCCCTCTCTCCTCTCTCTCTACTCCCCCTCACGTCTGGGTCGTGTCGTCTGCTGGGTCCAGGTGATCGCATACCCAACCCCCACGGCCAAACTCCAAGGGCATGCTTCGGGACCTATTTCACACACGTCTTTCCTCTCTCCCTTCTCTTTGCTCCCCTCTCCTGTTGCTCTTGTCTCACGCCTCGCCCTGTGCAGGTGGCGCGTCTGGGTCGTCTGCTGGGTCCACGTGGCCTCATGCCCAATCCCAAGGCCGGCACCGTCACCACCGACCTTGCTTCGGTACGCACCTGCGCTTGCTTTGGTGTTTGTTTTATTCTGTTATTGGTTTCGCTTTTGGCTCTTTAATTTCACTGCTGCTGCTGCCGGCCCCTCTGCCGTTGCTGCCGCTGCTGCTGCAATGCGTACAGTTTTGCGTGCATACTGCTCAAGCCAGGAACTCCATCCCTTTCCCCCTCGGCCGTCCTTTTGACTTCGGTTTCCCTTTCCATTTTAAAAGCCTCTTCCTCACACTTCCCCGACCCCTCTTCTCTTTCTTCCTCTTCACCTCTTTCCACTCGTCACCTCGTCCTTCTTCGCTCGTGAAGCTTTCATGCAGTGGTAGATCTGATGATTTATTGCGCAGACAAATTGCTGTACTGGGCATTTTTTTCACTGCACTGTGTGTCCCGCACTGCACCCATTCCCCCCACCTCCCCCTCCCCCTCTCCCTGCAGGCGGTGGTGGATTTCAAGGCGAGCTAGGTGGAGCACTGAGCAGACAAGACTGGCATCGCGCATGTGCTGTTCGGCAAGGCCCATGTCCATCACCCTTATCCCACCCACAATGTCACCTCTCCTCCCCTCCCCCCTTCTCCCCTCCCCTCCTCCCCCACCCCTCCCCCATGGCAGGCGGTGGTGGACTTCAAGGCGGGCAAGGTGGAGTACAGGGCGGACAAGACTGGCATCGTGCACGTGCTCTTCGGCAAGGCCTCCTTCTCCAACGAAGACCTCCTCACCAACCTTGTTGCTGTCGCTGTATGTATATTCATTAAATATCGTGTAGTGTATTCAAAATCATGTGATGTATGGTGTGGCAGTGGTTGTCTGTTTATTCAAAATCACGTGATGTATGGCGTGGCAGTGGTTGTCTGTTTATTCAAAATCATGTGATGTACCGGTATGGTTTGGCAGTGGTTGTCTGTTGGTGTCATGACTTTTTTTTTTGCTTGTGTGTTTGTGCGATGTGTTCTTGATGTTGCAGAACTCTGTGGATGCGAATCGCCCACCAGGCGCCAAGGGAGTGTACTGGAAGACTGCTTACATCTGCGCTACAATGGGCCCGTCCGTTCGTGTAAATGTGTCGGCCTTGAGGGACTTCAAGCTGCCCACTGCCTCATCGTAAGGAAGTGTTTCAAATGTCTGTCTTATCCACACTTATATAAAGTGCAGTGATGAATGAGATTTTTACAGGAGGTACTCATTTTGTGCCAGATTCTTTGTAGGTTTACATTAGTGTTTCCATAAATGAGAACTTGTGCTAGAAATTTGCCGGCGCGCTGTAGTACAGACCGTGTTCTTCCCTCTCCCGAATTGACCAATCACAAAATCCACACAGCTGAGTCAGCCTGTTTTCACAAGCCAATAGGAAGCTCAAGGCATCACTGGTTCGTTAGCTCTCTGCGGCCATCGCTTCGTTTCGGCCTGGTTCGGTAAGTCGCGCTGCGGGGTGGGCAGCCCACAAACAATTCCTCAGTCTCAAGCTGGAGCGTGTGAACTGTGGTGTATTCGCTTCGCTGCCCGTCAGATTGTCGGTCATCAGTTTTCGTGACTTGTGATGTGAGTATTGGTGGGCAGCGATGTGATTGGGGCGAAGCCAATGGCGATGCACAAAAGTGTGTGTTAGGCTCGGGATTTCGGGGGAAAAGGCCCGGTCTGCACAAACGAGCGGGTTAGGTTAGGTGGAAGCACGACATTTGTGGAAGTGATTGATGCGGGGAGGTTGGGCTGTTGCCTGTTGCAGTTGTGTTGGCCACGAAACTGTTCGCGTTTCGCCTTGGGATACTGTCACCATGCGATACCGCACAAAACCGACCTTGGGATTGCCATTGGAGATGATCATATGTACTTCCATTGCAACTGCTGCTGATGTTATTTTTCAGAGAACGCACGGTGTTTCTAGGACCGAGGAATTAGAAGAGTAGGAGACGCGAAGTAGCCGTGCTGTTCTAGACGATGTTATTTATGAACATGCGGATCTAATTCGTTGAAATTACGGGTGTTCCTGTTCGCATCTTCGTGAGTTAGACCTCTTCGCTCAATATTACGTCCAAGAACAGACAGAAACTCGGCCACCTACAATTCCTCGTCCCTTCCGTGGTTGTAGCTTCCTGGCTTTCGGTGTTAAGCACAGCACGTATTCTGCTTGTTTATTCTGCTTGTTATTCCTCGTACTCCGTATCCTAGCACTTGACCTCGCATCACCGTCGGATCGACTCGGTTGAGTTAATCCTCGCAGTTCTCCCGCATTTCTTCCCGCAGTCTGTCGCTCAGATCGTTCCTCAGTAGGTTGCCGACTTATCTCACCTCAACTTCTCGCCAGCTGCTCCCTTATGGACTCTGCCTCCAAGCGTCCTCATTGCCGTCCTTGAGACCTAATCGCCAGCCGCCGCACGGGCCCGTTCACCATGGTAAGCCGCCGTGCGTGTTCTCTCTTTTTGCTTTCTCGTTGTGTTGTCAGTTTCTTGCGTTCTTGTGTTGTCGAGTTGTTGTGTTGTCAGGTTCTCCTGTTGGTGTGCTTGAGAAGAACAAATTCGCTAATCAGAATAACCTCTTGCTGTTTCGGTGCACCCGAGAACCTGAAAATGAACATGTATTCGACAAACCATTGTTGCACTTTTAGTGCGTGGCTGGATTTCGCATGGCTCTGTCGCACGCACTAAGCTCTGCGAATTCTTCGCACGTTTCGTGAGTCGTTTGCGATCTCATATTGCACGTTGTCTCCTCTTGCGCGACGTCGCACACCCGCGCGTAGCGTCGCATGCTCCTTTTTTTCAGTCTTCCGCGGTGTACTTCGCCTTTGTTTTTTTGCTAAAGACGAAACAATTCGTACTTTTCAGACCTCTTAAAAGCGCGAACTGTCACATCCCCAAACACCTCAAAATCCACATTTCGCGGACTCCTCGTTTCTCGCGGTTACCCTATCTCGCGAAACTCCTCGCCAGCAGGTACCCGTTCTGGCAAAATCTCCCCTTCGCACTCCCCCTCAGCCCCGCACCCTCCCTAAGCCTGTGTGCGCCTGCGGGTCAGGTGTATAGTCGGAAGGTTTCAAGCAGAGAGCAGCTCTTGAGGCGCCTCAGATACTCCCCTAACCCTCCCTTAGCCTGTGTGTGCCTGCGAGTGTATAATCGGAGGTTTCAATCTGGTGAATGTGCTCGCGGCGGGCAGCAGGGTTTGTGGGGCGAACGAGTAGAGCCTATTCGTCCAGACACGTGCATGCCTTGCCTTCCCATGTCTCCGCCTCATCCCCCTCTCTCCCTTCCTTCCCCTTTTCCCGCTCCTCCTGCGGCGGGACGAGGAGGAGAGCATGTAGATTGTAACGGGCGCAAGCATTCTTCCTCCCTCCCTCTTCCCCCCCATTCTTTCTACCCACCCTCCAATGGCCATGCCCCCCTCTCCCTCCATCCCATCTTCCGAGCTCGAAGCAGCGCAGTGCGTTCATGACAAGGGCAGCGTGTGGGTGTTGAATGACTGGGGCATGCTGGCATGCTAGCATAGTGGCACTGGCACCCCACCCCAGCCCACTCCACCCCACCCCACCCCACCCCACCCCACCCCACCCCACCCCACCGCACCCCAGCCCACCCCACCTCACCTCACCCCTCCCCACCCCACCCCACCCCACCCCACCCCATCGCACCCCACCCCACTGCACCAGGGCTCGGAGCAGCGCGGTGTGTTCACGGTGGGCAGCAGTGTGTGGGTGCCGGACGAGGAGGATGCATGGGCGGAGGGCGAGGTGGTGGCCGTCGAGGATGGCGGAGGGGGTGCGGGCGGGCAGGTGGTGGTGCGGACCACAGGGAAGAAGAAGCGCGAGGTGAGACTGGTGGTGGTGGTGTTGTGTGTGCTGGGTTCACCGCCTCAAAGAGTGCGTTCACGGTGGGAGGACGAAGAAGACGCGTGAGTGGAGGGCGAGGTGGTGGGGCGTCAAGGATGGCGCCGGGGGTGCGGGCGGGCAGGTGGTGGTGCGGATCACAGGGAAGAAGAAACGCGAGGTGAGTGCAGTGATGCGTGTGTGGGTGGTGGTGATGCGTGTGTGGGTGGTGGTGATGCGTGTGTGGGTGGTGGTGATGCGTGTGTGGGTGGTGGTGATGCGTGTGTGGGTGGTGGTGATGTGTGTGTGTGCTGCTGGTGCTGGTGGTGTTGGGTGGAGGAGGGGCTGGGGGGGGAGCAGGCGGTAGTGGTGTGGTGCGGACCACAGGGAAGACGAAGCTCATGTAGAGTAGAGTGATGGATGTGGTGCTGCTGGCGATGGGTGTGGTGCTGCTGGTGACGGGTGTGGTGCTGCTGGTGATGGGTGGCGTGGTGCTGCTGGTGATGGGTGGCGTGGTGCTGCTGGTGATGGGTGGCGTGGTGCTGCTGGTGATAAGAGGTTGGCGGCATGATGGACAATACAGTCAGATGGCGTGTCTGCACAAGCAGGGGGTGCATGCTATGGAAGGGAGGAGGATGGCAGAATCATGGACGTCAAGATCAAGACGGCGTGTCTGCAAGTGGCATGGGTGCCTCTTAAGTCCTCTCAAAGCCCTCCCCTCTCTTCCCTCCCATCCTCTCAGGTGACAGTTGCAGCGGGTGCGTGCTATGCAAGGGAGGAGGATGGGGGAATCTTGGACGTCAGGATCAAGGTGGCCTTGAGTTATCACTGCTTCCTGAGGAGCCTAAGATTTGCCTCAAAAGGCGCCTTGAATACTGGAATGGAATCATGGACGTCAGGATTAAGATGGCCTCGAGCTCTCACTGTTCCTCCTTCCCGCTTTGAACCTTTTCCTTCTCTCTTGGTTGCTGCCTGTCCACCATCCACGCCAGGTGACGGTAGCAGCGGGTGCGTGCTATGCAAGGGAGGAGGATGGGGGAATCATGGACGATATGGTCAAGATGGCCTACCTTCACGAGCCAGGAGTGCTCTCCAACCTCATGCTGCGCTACCAGCGCAACCTTATTTATGTAAGTGCTGGGCTTGTGGCCTTTACGCAGAGGCAAAAGAGAACACGGGAAAAGTGAGTACGATGGACGCTATCTTTGTTTCGTACCTCATCCCCCTACCCCAGAACCTAAAACCCTGAGTCCGAAACCCTGAACACATAATGCGTGATCCAGAACCTGAAACCCGGATCCGTAGATATGAAGTTCAAATCCTCCCCCACTCTCCCTTCTCCCCCCTCCCCTCCCTCCCCCTCCCTTTTGCTTTTGCCTTCCATTGCTCATACCAGACATACACGGGCAGCATTCTGATCGCAGCAAACCCGTTCATGCGTATCCCAGGCACCCACGACTGGCAGATGAGGGAGGCGTGGATGCAGTGCGCAGTGCAGCATGCAGTGCAATGGATGATACGCATGTGCTCCCCCCCTTATCTCATTGCCTCCCTGCCTCCCTGCCTCCCTGCCTCCCTGCCTTCCTGCCTCCCTGCCTCCCTGCCTTCCTGCCTCCCTGCCTCCCTGCCTTCCTGCCTCCCTGCTTCCCTGCCTCCCTGCCTCCCTACCTCCCTGCCTTCCTACCAGACGTACACAGGCAGCATTCTGATCGCTGCAAACCCCTTCATGCGCATACCAGGCATCTACGACCGGGAGATGAAAATGCTTACCTTGGGGCTTTGAACCATCCCCTCTCCCTTCGCTCTCTCCACTCTCTACCCTCCCGCCTCCCTGCCCTCCCTTCAGACGTACAGGGGAAGCATTCTGATCGCAGCAAACCCCTTCATGCGCATACCAGGCATCTATGTCTGGGAGATGAGGGAGGCTTGGATGCAGTGCGCAGTGCAGTGCATGATACGCATGTGCTCCCCCCCTCTCTATTTCCCTGCCTCCCTACCTTTCTGTCTCCCTTCCTTTCTGCCTTTGTGCCTTTCTGCCTGCCCGCCTCCCTCTCTGACTGCCCTCCCACCAGACGTACACGGGCAGCATTCTGATCGCAGCAAACCCCTTCATGCGCATACCAGGCATCTACGACCGGGAGATGAGGGAGGCGTACAGAGGGGCACAGATCGGTGACCTCAGCCCTCATGTCTTCGCCATTGCTGATAACGCGTACAGGTGAGCAAGAGGGAACCAGGGGGGGGTGGGGAGAGGGAGGAAATCGATTGGGCACAGAGGCAATGAGGTGCAGGGAGGGGAGAGCAGGTGAGGAGGGGAGAGGCGCCTCTGGATGTATGGACTGGAACGTTCCTCGTATCTGATTCAAACCTTTTCTTTTGAGGCGTCTAAAGGGGTGAGGGGCCTTTGGATGTATCGAATGTTCCGCGTATCTAATACTTCCCTTGGAAATCAGCACCCACCCACCCCTGCAGGACAGCCAGTCGATTCTGAGGTGTTAGCTTCGTGAGTAACCTTGTAGGCTTGTACTTGATCGTGTCTCATCAATCCATCAATACCATTCCTTACAGGGCGATGGTGGATGACAAGCGCAGCCAGTCGATTCTGATCAGCGGGGAGAGCGGGGCGGGCAAGACAGAGACAACGAAGCTGGTCATGGAGTACCTGGCTTCCGTGGGGGGCCGGTCCGAGGCCACTGAGGGGCGCAGCATTGAAAGCCAAGTGCTGGAGGTGAGGCGAATAGTCAAGCTCAGAACAAGGGGTGATTCCAATGAGGTGCAAAGTGCAAGGGGCAAGTGGGCAAGACAGAGACAACGGAGCTGGTGTTGGAGTACCTGGCTTCCTTGGGGGGACGCTCTGAGACCACTGAGGGGCGCAGCATTGAAAGCCAAGTGCTGGAGGTGAGAGGGAAGGGGAGGGGAGAGGGAGAGAGGGGAAAGGGGAGGGGAGGGAGAGGGAGAGAGAGGAAAGGGGAAGAGGATGAGGGAAGTGAGATGAAGAGATGGAGGTAAGTCAAGTGAAGGAGGTGAGAGGGCGAATGGAGAGAGGGGAGAGGGGAGAGGGGAGAGGGGAGAGGGGAGAGGGGAGAGGGGAGAGGGGAGAGGGGAGAGGGGAGAGGGGAGAGGGGGAGAGGGGGAGAGGGGGAGAGGGGGAGAGAGGGGGAGAGGGAGAGGGGGAGTGGGGGAGAGGGAAAGATGGAGGTGAATAGATCGGAGGGGGAACCAAATTCCGTTCCACTTTTTCCTGCCCTCCCTTGCTTACCAACCCACCAGTCGAACCCTCTCCTGGAGGCCTTTGGAAATGCCAAGACAGTGCGAAACGACAACTCGAGTCGCTTCGGCAAGTTCATCAAGATCCAGTTCGACCAGCGGGTCCTTACCTTTCTCTCCTCCCCCTCTTCCCTCCTTCCCCACTCGCCCTGTCCCACAAGCTTTTCACTTATCCTCCCCACCAGTCAAACCTGCTGCTAGAAGCCTTTGGAAACGCCAAGACAGTGCGCAACGACAATTTCGAGTCGCTTTGGCAAGTTCATCGAGATCCAGGTTGACCAGCAGACAGACCCCTACCTTCCCCCTTCCATTTTCTTGCCAACCGTCCTCCTCCCTCCATCCCTCCTTCCTCTTCTCTCCCTGTCCCACAAACTCCCCTCCTCCGTCCGCTCCCCTACCTTCCCCTCCCATTCCCTCCTTATCACCCACCAGTCCAACCCATTGCTAGAGGCCTTTGGAAACGCCAAGACGGTGCGCAACGACAACTCGAGTCGCTTCGGCAAGTTCATCGAGATCCAGTTCGACCAGCGCGGCCGCGTGTCCGGTGCCGCCATCCGCTCCTACCTTCTAGAGCGGTCCAGAGTGGTGCAGATAGCAGACCCCGAGCGCAACTACCACTGCTTCTACCAGCTCTGCGCCGGCGCTTCCCCTGAGGTAAGCTTTTGACATGATATCTCAAATGCAAAATGCTGGCTGGATTCTCTAGTTGAGCCAAGAACCTGGTGGAGCGGTCCAGAGTGGTGCAGAAAGCAGACCCCGAACGCAATTACCACTACGTTTACGAGCTGTGTTCCGGTGCCTCCGCTGATGTGTGTGTGTGCATGTGCATGTGCTTGTGTGTGTGTGGGGGGGAGGGGTTTGATATTGCAAATTGACTGCAGACACTTTGCTGGCTGGGGTTTTCGAGTCGACTGAGTAACTTCCACCTTCTCTTGTACCAGGAGGCAGAGAAGTACTGGTTTCCACTGGGGACAAACAAACAGAGCAGAGAAATTTCACTACCTGAAGCAGAGCAAGTGCATTGAGCTGAAGGGGAAGCGCAGAAAGTGGTGTGGTGTGGATGATAGAAGCACACGGTTTCATGCCATGTTCACGTCTCTCACTCTGTCATCCGCTCTCTCCTCCAGGGCCAAACAGGGCGGAGAAAGTTTCACTACCTGAATCAGAGCAAGGGGCGTGGGCCGAGCACGCCCTGTTGACAACTTTTTAAATCCTTACCCCTCCTCCCTCTCTTCCTCACACTCTCCCCTCTTCGCCTTTTCAGGAGGCAGAGAAGTACCGTCTTCCTCCAGGGCCAAACAGAGCGGAAAAGTTTCACTACCTGAAGCAGAGCAAGTGCATTGAGCTGGAGGGGAAGCGCAGCAACGCGGAGGAGTATGCGATCACTCGGAATGCCATGGACGTGATTGGGATCTCCCAGGAAGAACAGGTGAGGATGGTGGAAGGTGGGTGAGATTGGACTGCGTGTGGTGTGGAGGTCGGATGGGGAAGAGGGGTTGGTATGCGTCCCTGCAGTATAGCATCACACAGAACGCCAAGTATGCAAATGGGATATTGCATTATGAGCATGTGAGATGAGGTTACAGTTCAAACACAGGGATTATGATGTTGCACTGCAGGATTGAGTGAGTTTTGGACTCACCCCAACTTCTCCTCTTCCCCCTCCCTCTCAAACCTCCACCCATCCCGGATGTGCATGCATGCAGGCATCAATATGCGGCATAGTGGCGGCCATTCCGCATCTGGCAACGTGGATTTCAAGGAGAAGGACGATAAGATGCGAGCTGTCGGATGGGAGCTGCCACTTGCATCAGACACAACCGCTTGCCAACCAACCTTTCCCCCCTTTCCCCCTACCTTCTCCTCTCTCCGTCCTCCACTTCCCCCCCTTCCCGCTTCCCCTCCCCTCCTTCTCAAACTCCCACCATCCGTGCATGTGTTACTGCATGCATGCAGGCGTCGATATTCGGCATAGTGGCGGCCATTCTGCATCTGGCAACGTGGAGTTGAAGGAGAAGGGCCGCCCACCTCACCCCCTCACGCTCCCTCACACATGCCCCCCATCCCAATCACCCCACTCATCCCCATGCAGGCGTCAATATTCGTCATAGTGGCGGCCACTCTGCATCTGGGCAACGTGGAGTTCAAAGAGAGGGGCGACAAGATGCGCATCGCCAAGGATTTCCCCTTTCCATACTTGCCACAACCGACCCACTTCAGCCCCACACACACCCTCACACACACCCTCCTCGTGAATTACCCCATCCATCAATGCGCAGGCATCCATATTCGGCATAGTGGCGGCCATTCTGCATCTGGGCAACGTGGAGTTCAAGGAGAAGGGCGACAAGATGCGCATCGCCAAGCACTCGGAAGAGGCCCTTGAGAACGCTGCACACCTGCTCTCGTAAGCACACCTGCTCTCGTAAGCACACCTGCTCTCGTAAGCACACCTGCTCTCGTAAGCACACCTGCTCTCGTAAGCACACCTGCTCTCGTAAGCACACCTGCTCTCGTAAGCACACCTGCTCTCGTAAGCACACCTGCTCTCGTAAGCACACCTGCTCTCGTAAGCACACCTGCTCTCGTAAGCACACCTGCTCTCGTAAGCACACCTGCTCTCGTAAGCACACCTGCTCTCGTAAGCACACCTGCTCTCGTAAGCACACCTGCTCTCGTAAGCACACCTGCTCTCGTAAGCACACCTGCTCTCGTAAGCACACCTGCTCTCGTAAGCACACCTGCTCTCGTAAGCACACCTGCTCTCGTAAGCACACCTGCTCTCGTAAGCACACCTGCTCTCGTAAGCACACCTGCTCTCGTAAGCACACCTGCTCTCGTAAGCACGCCTGCTCTCGTAAGCACACCTGCTCTCGTAAGCACACCTGCTCTCGTAAGCACGCCTGCTCTCGTAAGCACACCTGCTCTCGTAAGCACACCTGCTCTCGTAAGCACCTTGTCCCTGTTGATGGCATGGCACCTCACTTGTCAGTACCTGCCTGCCCTGCTGATTTCTGTTGACTGCTGTTGACTGCTGTTGACTGCTGCTGTCGCCAAGCACTCGGAAGAGGCCCTTGAGAACGTCACACACCTGCTCTTGTAAGTGCCCTGTCTCTTGAATTTGACGTCATCTCACCTGGTTTTGCGCTTAGAGTTGCTTGTAAGGATTCATCGTCCCTTTTGAAACTCAAAAGCTTTTTCGTCTCACAACCGCCCCCCAAACCCATGCTTCCCCTTCCCCCTCCCCAACCCCCACCCCTCTCGCCCCTCCCCTCCCCCCCAGGTGCGACAAGAAGAAGCTACAGGAGTCGCTGTGCACGATGAAGCGCAAGGTGGGAGGCGAGGTGATCAAGAGCTATTTGGATGAGAAGGGCGCTGTGGTGCGCCGAGACACGCTCGCCAAGACTCTCTACTCCAAGCTCTTCGACTGGTGGGTGGGCGGTTGTGGTTGAGTTGAGAGGTGTGTCGTTGACAGGTGGGTGGGTGGGAGGGAGGCGGGGCGATAGAGAAGGGTGCGGTGGTGCGCAGAGACACCCTCGCCAAGACTCTCTACTCCAAGCTCTTTGACTGGTGGGTGGGCGGTTGGATGGTGGGTGGGTGACTAGTTTGTGGTTGGTTGCTTGGATGGTGGGTGGGTGGATGGTTGACTGGGTGGTGGTGGGAGGCGAGGTGATCAAGAGCTAACTGGACAAGAAGGGTGCTGTAGTGCGCAGAGACACACTCACCAAGCCTTTATACTACAAGCTCTTTGACTGGTGGGTGGGTGACTGGTGGATGGGTGACTGGTTGAAGGGACTGGACTGGTGGTGGTTGTTTGCTATCGAGCAAAGTGGATGGAAATGAGAAGTTTGCGGTGGTTGCTACTCTTGGTCAAGCTCCACCACAGGCATGGCATTGGAAGGTGATGATTCCTCATGTGTGAGGTGGTGTGTGAGTCGAATCAACAGGACGTGCCATGCCATTGGCCAGGATGCCACGAATCCGATGCTCTCTTGCTCTCCCTCTCGCTTTTTTACTCCCTTGACCAGGATCGTGGAGAAGGTGAATCAATCCCATTGGGCAGGACGCCAATGCTCCCTCTCACACTCTCACTCACAACAACACTTTTTCTCCTCACCCCAACACGGCGACCCGCCCAATCACAGGATATTGGAGAAGGTGAATCGGTCCATAGGGCAGGACGCTAATGTTCTCTTTCCCTCACTTTCACACAACACCCCTTTTTCCTATCCTTACCCCTACACACGCCCACCCGCCCAATCACAGGATAGTGGAGAAGGTGAATCGGTCCATCGGGCAGGACGCCAACTCCATGGCGCTCATTGGTGTGCTCGATATCTACGGCTTCGAGCACTTCAAGCTCAACAGGTGCGACTGTGTGCGGTTGTGTGCGGTTGTGTGCTGGTTTTCTAGACCTCTCGATAACCCTCATTGGTGTGCTCGATATCTACGGCTTCGAGCACTTCAAGCTCAACAGGTGCGACTGTGTGCGGTTGTGTGCGGTTGTGTGCTGGTTTTCTAGACCTCTCGATAACTCTCATTGGCGTGCTCGATATCTACGGCTTCGAGCACTTCAAGCTCAACAGGTGCGGTTGTGTGCGGTTGTGCGCTGGTTTTCTAGACCTCTCGATAACCCTCATTGGTGTGCTTGATATCTACGGCTTCGAGCACTTCAAGCTCAACAGGTGCGACTGTGTGTGGTTGTGTGCGGTTGTGTGCTGGTTTTCTAGACCTCTCGAATACCCTCATTGGTGTGCTTGATATCTACGGCTTCGAGCACTTCAAGCTCAACAGGTGCGTGAGACATGCTGGCTGGAGAGGAGAGTACATGTATGTGCTCATTTCATACATATCAAAGGCCATGCTCCATGGCGCTTATAGGCATGCTCGATGTCTATGGCTTTGAGCACTTGAAGCTCAACAGGTGCGTGAGACATGCTGGCTGGAGAGGAGAGTACATGTATGTGCTCATTTCATACATATCAAAGGCCATGCTCCATGGCGCTTATAGGCATGCTCGATGTCTATGGCTTTGAGCACTTGAAGCTCAACAGGTGCGTGAGACATGCTGGCTGGAGAGGAGAGTACATGTATGTGCTCATTTCATACATATCAAAGGCCATGCTCCATGGCGCTTATAGGCATGCTCGATGTCTATGGCTTTGAGCACTTGAAGCTCAACAGGTGCGTGAGACATGCTGGCTGGAGAGGAGAGTACATGTATGTGCTCATTTCATACATATCAATTCCATGCTCCATGGCGGCTTATAGGCGTGCTCGATGTCTATGGCTTTGAGCATTTCAAGCTCAACAGGTGCGCCGTGGCTGGAAAGCGTCGAGAATGCACTGCTAAGTTACGCTTTTTACAGTTGCCAGCAGTTTTGGAATTTATTGGAAAACCAATAGGTCCACAAGCATCCTTGTTCTGCTTGCAAGCATGGTGCTCTCAGAACTGCTCCATCTCGCCCCCTACTCTCTTCCTTTCCTTCCCTCCTCTCACCCCCTTCTCGAATCCTCCCCTTTCCCCTCGCTTTCTCCTCTTCTTCCTAGAGCCTGCTATAAATATTCGTCCTCCTCTAATTCATTTGTTTAAATCCTCCGTCCTCCCACTTTCCACCCCAACCTCCTGCAACTGGCCACCTCTCTTTCCCCCCCCCCACCCACAGCTTCGAGCAGTTCTGTATCAACCTGGCAAACGAGAAGCTTCAGCAACATTTTAACCAGGTATCAAAAGGCAACGAGAAGCTTCAGCAACATTTTAACCAGGTATCAAAAGGCAACGAGAAGCTTCAGCAACATTTTAACCAGGTATCAAAAGGCAACGAGAAGCTTCAGTAGCACTTGAACTAGTGTCCATGCTTACTGTACCCTTCCCCTTTGCTTCTTCTTCTTTTCCTCACTCCTCCCCATAGTCACACTCACACCCAGATCAGCATGGTTCTATGCTCGAATAGGAGGGATGGGGGCGAGGGTAGATCAACTGGAACTGATTTTCTTTCTCATTCCCCCCCCCCCCCCTCCTCCTCCTCCCCACTGTCTCTATTCTTGTACCCCCTCTCACCGTCCAACCACCAGCATGTGTTGAAGCTAGAGCAGGAGGAGTATGAGCGAGAGGAGATCAACTGGAGCTACATCAACTTCCGGGACAACCAGGATGTGCTGGACCTAGTTGAAGGGGTGAGCTGATGGGTGGGGTGAGAGGTGTGAGGTGATGAGTGGCGTGAGGTGATGTGGTCAAGTGGAGTGGAGGGAGGGGTGAGTGAGCTGCGAGAGGAGATCAACTGGAGCTACATCAACTTCCGGGACAACCAAGACGTGCTATATCTCGTTGAAGGGGTGAGCAGCTGACGGGTGGGGGCTAGTTGTTCCTGAATATTTCTTGCATCATTGCTTCCAGAAGGCTGTCCGTGCGTGGTTCCTTAGGCAGAAGCTCTGGATTGGCCTTTCTTGTGTTGAGACGTCTCAAACATTGCCCTCCCTTATTCCCTTGTGCTGCTGCTTCTTTTTGTTTCTGCTGCTGGCTGCAGGACAAGGGTATCCTCACTCTGCTCGACTCTGCTTGGTACGTACCGTTCCATCTCCCTGCCTTTCCTGCCCTCCCGTTTCCCCATACCCATGTCCTTCACCATTTTTCTTGTTGAGGCGGCATAAACGATGACTGATTCTAATGCACGGATGCTCTACTCGCTCGCACGCGAGCAACTTGACCCACAGAGGACCTTTGAGGCGCCTTGTCCCTGGTGACTGCTTTTTGTCCACCATCTCCTCCCCCCACCCCTGCAGCAAGCTAGTCCAGTCCACACCAGAGTCCTTCATCATGTCGCTGTACGATGCTTTCTTAAAGCACGAGCGATTCGCCAAGTACGAGGGCTCACTCACCCACTTCACTCTCTTTCCTGCTCCCTTTCTCATTCTTTCCCCTGCTTCGTCGCCCCTGTTCCAGCAAGTTAGCCCAGTCCACACCGGAGTCATTCACCATGTCTCTCTACGATGCCTTTCTCAAGCACGAGCGATTCACCAAGTCAAAGGGCTCTGTCACTGACTTCACGCTGGAGCACTACGCGGGGCGAGTCAAGTACAGCACCACGGAGTTCATCAGCAAGAACCTCGACGCCGTGGTATCAGAGCACGAGGCGCTGCTGCAGAAATCCACCGATCCGTTTGTGGCCGCACTGTTTCCAGCAGCAGTGGAGGAGGTGAAGGAGGGCGGGGGCAAGGGCGGCAAGGCCACCACCAAGTTTGCGTCCCTGGGGAAATCGTTCAAGGCGAGTGTTATGGCACCTCAAAATGGACTTGGGTGGACAGGGACTACGTGTGGCAATTGGAACCGTCCCTTCTTCCCCTTCTTCCCTGTGGTTTTGCATTTTGTGTTGGTTTTAAAGTCGTAAGTCATGTTTAAGCACTCCTTTCCCGGCCCCTTTTTTTTTGGGGGGGTATTTATTTCTGTTTGTTTGGTGTGTCCACGCCCGTTGACTTGTTGTTCTGCAGCTGCAACTGTCGCAACTGATGGACACTCTGAACCGCACAGAACCGCACTACATCCGGTGCATCAAGCCCAACTCCAAGAGCCGACCAGCGCTGTTTGAGAAGAGCATGGTGGTGGAGCAGCTGCGGTCGGGGGTGAGTGGGAGATGGGGGGATGGGAAGGGGTTGAGGGTATTGGGGTTGGCGGGTTGGTAACGGCAGTCATGCTGTTTGAAAAGAGCGTGGTGGTGGAGCGGCTGCGGTCGGGGGTGAGTGCGATGAGGGGATAAGGAGGGAGGTGGTCACGGGTGTTGGGATGAGTGCGATGAGGAGATAAGGAGGGAGGTGGTCACGGGTGTTGGGATGAGTGCGATGAGGAGATAAGGAGGGAGGTGGTCACGGGTGTTGGGATGAGTGCGATGAGTAGATAAGGAGGGAGGTGGTCACGGGTGTTGGGATGAGTGCGATGAGGAGATAAGGAGGGAGGTGGTCACGGGTGTTGGGATGAGTGCGATGAGGAGATAAGGAGGGAGGTGGTCACGGGTGTTGGGATGAGTGCGATGAGGAGATAAGGAGGGAGGTGGTCACGGGTGTTGGGATGAGTGCGATGAGGAGATAAGGAGGGAGGTGGTCACGGGTGTTGGGATGAGTGCCATGAGGAGATAAGGAGGGAGGTGGTCACGGGTGTTGGGATGAGTGCCATGAGGAGATAAGGAGGGAGGTGGTCACGGGTGTTGGGATGAGTGCGATGAGGAGATAAGGAGGGAGGTGGTCACGGGTGTTGGGATGAGTGCGATGAGGAGATAAGGAGGGAGGTGGTCACAGGTGTTGGGATGAGTGCGATGAGGAGATAAGGAGGGAGGTGGTCACGGGTGTTGGGATGAGTGCGATGAGGAGATAAGGAGGGAGGTGGTCACGGGTTTTGGGATGAGTGCGATGAGGAGATAAGGAGGGAGGTGGTCATGGGTGTTGGGATGAGTGCGATGAGGAGATAAGGAGGGAGGTGGTCACGGGTGTTGGGATGAGTGCAATGAGGAGATAAGGAGGGAGGTGGTCACGGGTGTTGGGATGAGTGCGATGAGGAGATAAGGAGGGAGGTGGTCACGGGTGTTGGGATGAGTGCGATGAGGAGATAAGGAGGGAGGTGGTCACGGGTGTTGGGATGAGTGCGATGAGTAGATAAGGAGGGAGGTGGTCACGGGTGTTGGGATGAGTGCGATGAGGAGATAAGGAGGGAGGTGGTCACGGGTGTTGGGATGAGTGCGATGAGGAGATAAGGAGGGAGGTGGTCACGGGTGTTGGGATGAGTGCGATGAGGAGATAAGGAGGGAGGTGGTCACGGGTGTTGGGATGAGTGCGATGAGGAGATAAGGAGGGAGGTGGTCACGGGTGTTGGGATGAGTGCGATGAGGAGATAAGGAGGGAGGTGGTCACGGGTGTTGGGATGAGTGCGATGAGGAGATAAGGAGGGAGGTGGTCACGGGTGTTGGGATGAGTGCCATGAGGAGATAAGGAGGGAGGTGGTCACGGGTGTTGGGATGAGTGCGATGAGGAGATAAGGAGGGAGGTGGTCACGGGTGTTGGGATGAGTGCGATGAGGAGATAAGGAGGGAGGTGGTCACGGGTGTTGGGATGAGTGCGATGAGGAGATAAGGAGGGAGGTGGTCACGGGTGTTGGGATGAGTGCCATGAGGAGATAAGGAGGGAGGTGGTCACGGGTGTTGGGATGAGTGCCATGAGGAGATAAGGAGGGAGGTGGTCACGGGTGTTGGGATGAGTGCGATGAGGAGATAAGGAGGGAGGTGGTCACGGGTGTTGGGATGAGTGCCATGAGGAGATAAGGAGGGAGGTGGTCACGGGTGTTGGGATGAGTGCCATGAGGAGATAAGGAGGGAGGTGGTCACGGGTGTTGGGATGAGTGCCATGAGGAGATAAGGAGGGAGGTGGTCACGGGTGTTGGGATGAGTGCCATGAGGAGATAAGGAGGGAGGTGGTCACGGGTGTTGGGATGAGTGCGATGAGGAGATAAGGAGGGAGGTGGTCACGGGTGTTGGGATGAGTGCGATGAGGAGATAAGGAGGGAGGTGGTCACGGGTGTTGGGATGAGTGCCATGAGGAGATAAGGAGGGAGGTGGTCACGGGTGTTGGGATGAGTGCCATGAGGAGATAAGGAGGGAGGTGGTCACGGGTGTTGGGATGAGTGCGATGAGGAGATAAGGAGGGAGGTGGTCACGGGTGTTGGGATGAGTGCCATGAGGAGATAAGGAGGGAGGTGGTCACGGGTGTTGGGATGAGTGCCATGAGGAGATAAGGAGGGAGGTGGTCACGGGTGTTGGGATGAGTGCCATGAGGAGATAAGGAGGGAGGTGGTCACGGGTGTTGGGATGAGTGCCATGAGGAGATAAGGAGGGAGGTGGTCACGGGTGTTGGGATGAGTGCCATGAGGAGATAAGGAGGGAGGTGGTCACGGGTGTTGGGATGAGTGCGATGAGGAGATATGGAGGGAGGTGGTCACGGGTGTTGGGATGAGTGCCATGAGGAGATAAGGAGGGAGGTGGTCACGGGTGTTGGGATGAGTGCGATGAGGAGATAAGGAGGGAGGTGGTCACGGGTGTTGGGATGAGTGCGATGAGGAGATAAGGAGGGAGGTGGTCACGGGTGTTGGGATGAGTGCGATGAGGAGATAAGGAGGGAGGTGGTCACGGGTGTTGGGATGAGTGCGATGAGGAGATAAGGAGGGAGGTGGTCACGGGTGTTGGGATGAGTGCCATGAGGAGATAAGGAGGGAGGTGGTCACGGGTGTTGGGATGAGTGCGATGAGGAGATAAGGAGGGAGGTGGTCACGGGTGTTGGGATGAGTGCGATGAGGAGATAAGGAGGGAGGTGGTCACGGGTGTTGGGATGAGTGCGATGAGGAGATAAGGAGGGAGGTGGTCACGGGTGTTGGGATGAGTGCCATGAGGAGATAAGGAGGGAGGTGGTCACGGGTGTTGGGATGAGTGCGATGAGGAGATAAGGAGGGAGGTGGTCACGGGTGTTGGGATGAGTGCGATGAGGAGATAAGGAGGGAGGTGGTCACGGGTGTTGGGATGAGTGCGATAAGGAGATAAGGAGGGAGGTGGTCACGGGTGTTGGGATGAGTGCCATGAGGAGATAAGGAGGGAGGTGGTCACGGGTGTTGGGATGAGTGCCATGAGGAGATAAGGAGGGAGGTGGTCACGGGTGTTGGGATGAGTGCCATGAGGAGATAAGGAGGGAGGTGGTCACGGGTGTTGGGATGAGTGCCATGAGGAGATAAGGAGGGAGGTGGTCACGGGTGTTGGGATGAGTGCGATGAGGAGATAAGGAGGGAGGTGGTCATGGGTGTTGGGATGAGTGCCATGAGGAGATAAGGAGGGAGGTGGTCACGGGTGTTGGGATGAGTGCCATGAGGAGATAAGGAGGGAGGTGGTCACGGGTGTTGGGATGAGTGCCATGAGGAGATAAGGAGGGAGGTGGTCACGGGTGTTGGGATGAGTGCCATGAGGAGATAAGGAGGGAGGTGGTCACGGGTGTTGGGATGAGTGCCATGAGGAGATAAGGAGGGAGGTGGTCACGGGTGTTGGGATGAGTGCCATGAGGAGATAAGGAGGGAGGTGGTCACGGGTGTTGGGATGAGTGCCATGAGGAGATAAGGAGGGAGGTGGTCACGGGTGTTGGGATGAGTGCCATGAGGAGATAAGGAGGGAGGTGGTCACGGGTGTTGGGATGAGTGCCATGAGGAGAAAGGGCTGAGAGGGAGTGATGGGCACAAGTGTCGGCTAAGGGCAGGTGGTGCGGATAGAGGGAGAGGAGGGGAAAAGGGGGGAGGAGGGAGGGGGTCTTTTTTGGAAGGGTTATGAAAGGGAGGTGCTCTGCTGTCGTGTGGTTTGCTGTGGTGCGGTTTGCTGTGGTGCGGTTTGCTGTGGTGCATTGTTATGGATGGACTGTGCTGTGGTGAAACACTGGAGCACCGCGCACAGGCTAAAACCCCAACCACCCCATCTCACCATGGCCCACATCCCGTTCTTTCCCATCATGGCCTCAAGGAGTTGTGTAGGCAGGCTATGTCACTTGCCGCGTGTTCATGTTCCTCAGTGGTTTTAGGCGACTCAAAACTCCTCCATGTGTCATCACGTGGCACCCATGATCGATGGAATGCCTGCTTACCACATGGTTCGATGTGGTGTGGTGTGGTGTTGTGTTGTGTGGTGTGGTGTGGTGTGCTATGCTGCGGTGTGGTGCGGTGTGGTGTGGTGTGGCATGGTGTGGTGCACTGCGCTGTGGTGTGCTGTGGTGCATGCAGGGAGTGTTGGAGGCCATTCGCATGTGCTCTGCGGGCTACCCCACGCGCCGCCTCTTTGACGACTTTATCGACAGATTCGCACTTCTCATCCCCTCGCTCTTTGACAAGGAGTGAGTTTTGCTGCGTTTTGGAGCTTCCGTAACATCTCACTCACTGTGGACCATGCATATTGCTTATTGTGAGCCCTTTTACTCACTGTAGATCACCTCACTCACTTTGACTTCTGCATTTCCCCACGCTTCACTCCACCCACGTCCTGCATTTCCCCACGCTCCGCTCCACCCACGTCCCCTCCTGCCTGCTTTGCCTTGCCTTGTTGTTCGTTGAGATCTGTAAAAGGTCATGAGCATGTTTGCGTCCCTGGATCGTAGTAGTAGTAGGATCCGTCATTGGTTTTGCTACCACGCCAATCCAGAGCTCCTTCTGCTGCCTGTTTCACAACTGTGTGCTGCCTGTTTCACAACTGTGTGCTGCCTGTTTCACAACTGTGTGCTGCCTGTTTCACAACTGTGTGCTGCCTTGCGCCCACTCCCATCCTATCCCATTCTCACCCCTCTGTGCTTCTGTGCGTGTAGCAGAATGTCAGTCTCTGAGTGTGTGGAGGTTGTCTGTAGCATTAGCCGAGCTGCAGTTTACTTCCTCTTAGTCTGAGCTGATTCCCATGCCATCCTGTGCTGCTGTGTGGGTGCTCTCTTTTCAACCGTCAGGATGTCGGACCCGGAGTATGTGGAGGTCATTCTGCGCCACGCCAAGCTGGAGAACTACCAGGTGAGCTCCTGCGGGCGGATCAGATGGCTCTAATGGAGACGCGGCGCCTGGGGGTCATGAACGCCGCTGCTACCACCGCTGCTTACGTGCACACTCAACAACGCTCCTTTTAGGCATCCCCCAGCATACCTACCCTGCCGTGCTCAAAGCTCAAAGGTATTCCTACGAGCAGGTCAGATACCGCTGATGGAGATGCGGCGACTGGAAGTCATGAACGCAGCTGCTAGCTGTGCACATTCACCAACGCTTCCCCCATGCGTGTTTTCCCTATGAATCCCGTACTCTCTCCCCCTTCACAGATTGGCAAGTCGAAGGTATTCCTCCGGGCAGGCCAAATGGCTCTGATGGAGATGCGTCGTCTCGAGGTCATGAACGCCGCAGCGGCCCGCATTCAGCGTGCCACGCGCCGCTTCCTCTTCCGCCTGCACCGCGCCCGCGCTGCCCTCTGCATCCAAAAGTTCTGGCGCGGTGAGTGGGGCTGCGCACGCTGCTGTGAGTGGGGCTGCACACGCTGCTGTGAGTGGGGCTGCACACGCTGCTGTGAGTGGGGCTGCACACGCTGCTGTGAGTGGGGCTCTCTCTGTTTCCTCCTCTCAGTGTTGTCTCCCTTTCAGTGCTGCCCCAAAAGTTCTGGCACGAGGGGCGTGGCTATCTCTTGCTCCTCTGGGTCATCTTAAGATTGCCTTGGAGATTTTTTGAGATAATCTTCTTTACTCCCTTGTGTGTGCGTACGTGGTGTGGTGTGGAGTGAGTTGAGTTTTGAGTCGACTCAAAACTCGATTTTAGGAGATAATCTTCTTTGCTCCCTTGTGTGTGCGTACGTGGTGGTGGTGTGGTGTGCGTGTGGTGCTCGTGGTGCCCGTGACATGTTTCCCTCCACACTGCCCTCTGGTTTTCAATCCATTCCCTTGGACCCCTCCCATCCTTTCTCCTCCTCTCCCTTCCTTCACTGCCCTCTCCAGCCTACACGGCACGGGTGTTAGTGCATCACCTGCGGCAGCGCCTGGCGGCAACGTGCATTCAGCGCGTGGAGAGGGGCAGGCAGCAGCGCATGCGCTTCCGCACACAATTCCTCCCCTCCTTTCTCTTCCCTCCCCTATCCTCTCCTCCCCTCCAAACACCTCTCATTTCTTTCCCCCCTTCCCAACTGCCCTCCAGCCTACACGGCACGGCTGTTCGTGTACCACCTGCGGCGGCGGCTGGCAGCAACGTGTATCCAGCGCATGGAGAGGGGCCGGCAGCAGCGCATGCGCTTCCTCATGCTGCGGCGAGCTGCCATCACCATCCAAGCCAAGTACCGCATGCACCTCTATCGCACGCGCTACCTGCACATGCGGGATAACCTGGCTGCCACGTGCATTCAGGTGTGTGTGTGTGGGGGATAAGAAGAGTGCTTTTGGCTTGGTTTGGGTGTCAATTACTGGGTCTGGCTTTATAGTGTGTGTGCGGAGCTGAACCGCCGTCACCATCCAAGCCAAGTACCGCATGCACCTCTACCACATGCACCTCTACCGCATGCACCTCTACCACATGCACCTCTACCGCATGCACCTCTACCACATGCGATACCTGCACATGCGGGATAACCGCGCTGCCACGTGCATTCAGGGATGTGGGTGTGTCTGTGGTTTCTGCCACAGTCATCCTCCCCCATCCTTCCCCCAGTCATCCTCCCCCATCCTCTGCCCACCTGCACGCCTCACTCCCCACCCCTTCTCTGCGTCTCCTCCTATGCTCTGCCCCTCGCCACAGTGTCACTGGCGGGGCTATGTGGCGCGCAAGCCCTGGAAGGCCCTGCGGCAGTACTTGTTTGCACGGCTGGCCAGGCTGCGATATAAGAACCTCAAACTGGTGCGTGCCCCCCTGCCTGTTCGTGGCTGGTCTGACTTGTTACCCAACCCCCTTTCCTCCGTCTCCGCAATCGCCTCTCTCTATGTTCCACACTCCCCAACCAGCTCTCCACACCCATTCTTCCCAAAAACTCCTCCCCTCCACTTAAGATCCCTGCTACTACCCCCCTCCTCCCCCCCCACCTTTTCCCTTCCCCCTTCCACCCCCTCTCCACGCCCCTCGTTCCGGTCCCACATCCCTCTCATTTGAAGCAATTCACTGTCTCAACCTGAATAGCCCTTCAGCGCTCCTGTTGCCCTCCCCTCGCTCGCGCTTCTCCTTTCGGTTTCTGCCATATTTTTCCCCTTCCAGCTCCCAACCTTGTGGTTACTTGCTTGCCTGCTCCTCTTCTTTCTTCCTCTTCTGCCCGCCCTCCATTCCACCAATTGCAGGAGGCGGCTCGCATTGCTGAGCTGGCACCGCCGCGCAAGAAGACGGAGGTGGCGATGGATACGATCCGCATGATGGTGCTGCGCGTGCAGAGAGTGAGTGTGACTGTAGGGGGTTTAAAGTGGGGATTGTGCAAATATTAAGGGTTTGTGTGAGTCTTCTTACACTGACGTGCAAGAAGACGGAGGTGGCGTGGCGATGGATATGATCTGCATGATGGTGCTGCGGGAGGAACGGATGAGTGTGACTGTAAGGGAGGCTGGAGGGGAATGTTATGGTAAGGGGGACAGAGTGCCAGATGGGAGATGGCTGTATCGGGGTGGAATATGAGTGTGACTGTACCTTGAAGATGGATACCCGTGAAAGAGTCCCTCTCCATTTCGCCCATCCCATGCTGCGCCACCCTTTTCCTACACAAACTTCCCACTCCCCCGCAACAGGACAAGGCGGAGAAGGGGCGACAGGCGTTGGAACGCCAACTGGCAGAGGCAAGAGAGGAGGTGGAGGGGCGCGGCAGGGAGATAGCGGCACGCGGCAGGGAGATAGCCCGGCTGCAGGAGATGCTGGATGCGGAACAGGCGAGGGCAGAGGCTGCAGAGGCTGAGGTGCGGGCGATGGTGGCGGAGAGGGAGGAGCAGCGTGAGGAGCAGCAGCAGCACTTGGTGAAAATGAAGGAGCTGTCTGTGCTGCCTGACGTGCTCAGCCATACGCCCACTGCTGCTTCTGCTGCTGCGGCTGCGGGTGGGGTTGATGATGGTGCTGCTGCTAGGGATGAGGCCAGGGTGTTGGCAAATGCGGCGGCGGCAGCAGTGGCGGCTGTTGACGGGGCGGTGGGAGCGACTGAAGCAGCAGGAACCCCTGCAGGGGCTAGAGACGAGGCAGGAGGGGCTGAAACCGCTGCAGCAGCAGAAGAGGCAGTGTCAGCTGCAACGTCAGCACTGGCAGCTGCAGCAGCAGCAGCTGCAGCGGCAGCAGGGTTGGCAGGAAGCGTGGCAGGAAGAGTGGCAGCAGGGGTGGCAGGAAGCGTGGCAGGAAGCGTGGCAGAATCTGCAGTGATGAACGCGGATGCACCTCCTGCTCTTCACACGGGGCCTGTGCTGTGCGCTCGGTGTGGGGGGAGAGTGGAGGCATCAGGAGGAATTCCCGTGTCCCCTTCGTCCCTGCGCTCCCCCAGAACTCCCTCCTCCCGTCGACCTCCCCTGTCCGCTGTATCACCCAGGAGAACCCCCACTACCACCGCTGCTGCCGCCGCCGCTGCTGCCGGTGCCGCTGTTGCTGCTGCAAGTGCTGCTTCTGTTGACCCGCATGTTGATCATGCAAGAAGGCCTGTGCAAGGCGAGGGAGAGGGAGAGGAGGACGGAGTGGAGGAGGTGAAAGAGGTGGCAATGGAGGGGGATAGGGAGAAGGAGTGTGTCGTTGTGGGGGTGGAGGACGGCGCAGACAGGACGGCGCTTGCCAACCATTTCTTGCCGCCGATTTTGGAGAGATCTGCACAGAGCGAGGCGGATCTAGTGGAGGCAGAAGAGAGGGCAGCGAACAGAGGTAAGGACGGCGAGGGTGACGAGGAGCAGGAGGAGCAAGGTCAGAGAAAGCAGCAGCAGGCACAGGAGACGGGGCAGGAGCAGGAGCAGGTGCAGGGAGGGAAAGCCGGAGGGGAAGGCGATGGGGCGGCAGCTGCGAGCGGGAAGGAAGGAGGGAAGCCGCGGCCTGTGTCGCCTCTATCAGCCGGTGCGAGTGCTATCCGCGATAGACTCACTCTGGACGTGGGCGGAGGTAGCACCACCAGTGGCGCCGCTGCTGCTGCTGCCGCTGCAGGAGCAGCAGCAGGGACAGCAGCAGGAGCAGCATCCGGGGGAGCAGCAGCAAGTGTGGGCCCAGGGGGGGCGCCCCTCTGCCTCCCAGCGACAGCAGCAGGCGCCCCATGCGGCCCCGTGCCGCCTCCTCTTCAGGCTCAGGCTGGCAGGTCCCCTCAGAGGACGTTGACTTTGACCACGAGGTGGGGGCAGCAGCAGAGCAGGACCGAGGGCCCTTGAGTGCTGACCGCGGCCCTCCCAGCTCCGAGAGACCCAGGAGAATGTCCGCGGGCACAGGCGGTGGAGGTGGAGGGGGAGGCGGAGGAAGGGAGTTTGGGCGGTATGGGAGCAGCTCGTTCCGGGGCTCGCCTGCCCGGGAGTTTGAGGGGGGAGCGCGGGTGGGGCGAGGGGAGGAGGGGTCGTGGAGCGGGAGGAAGCTGGGAGGGGTGGGGTCGAGATCGGCCCGGAGTGGGGCGAGTGAGGCGTCGCCGCGAGGAGGCGTGGGGATGGGGATGGGAACTCCGCCCACGCCTGGAGGGAGTGCGGCGGGGACGCCGCGGGGGAAGAGTTTGACGTTTTCGGCGAGCAACTTTGATAAGATCCTCGCGAGCATGCAGCGCGAGGTGGAGATCGCACAGAAGGTGAGATCGCACAGAAGGTGAGATCGCACAGAAGGTGAGATCGCACAGAAGGTGAGAGGGGTGAGACGATGAGATTGGAGAGAGGGGGAGACGAGTCAGAAGTTGAGGGTGAGACGGGTGCCAAGGTGGATGAGTGAGAAGGAGGCAATCAGGAGTGCGTGTTCTTGTTAAGCTGTCTGTTGTATCAGTCACCCCCTCTACGCCCCGTCCCCACTTCAGGCAGAGGTCGCAGCAGCACTGGCGGCAGCAGCACTTGAGGCGTATTTTCATACGCCTCTGTCTGTTGTGCCGTTCACTTCCCCGCCTCATCCCTCTACCTCCTCCCCCCTCTTCGTTGAATCAAATGCGAGAGGAGAACAACTGGCTGCGGGTAGCATGCAAGGAGGCGGTGCACAAGGCAAAGGTGGCGGCAGTGGCACGGACTGGCGGCGTTGGCAGGAGGCAGGAGCTATATGCCTCTCATTGTTATCCCCTTCTTTCCCCCCTTCAACCAGATGCGAGAGGAGAACAACTGGCTGCGGGCAGCATACAAGGAGGCGGTCCACAAGGCAGAGGTGGCGGCAGCGCTGGCGGGGGCAGAGAGGGCGAGAGCTGAGGAGGCAGAGAGGAACGTGGCAGCGCGGGAGGAGGAGATGCGGGAGGCTCTGGCACGGTGCCATGAGCTGCAGGAGAAGCTGCTCGGGTGAGTGTGGGCGGTGGGGTGATTGGGGGCGGTGGGGTGATTGGGGGCGGTGGGGTGATTGGGGGCGGTGGGGTGAGAGAGGGTGGTGGGTTGAGAGAGGGTGGTGGGTTGAGAGAGGGTGGTGGGGCAAATGGGCTGGTTTGTAGGACGAGGGAGGAGCAGATGAGGGAGGCCCTGGCTGGCAAGGTGCCATGAGGTGCCATGAGGTGCAGGAGAAGCTGCTCGGGCGAGGCGAGTGTATCAGATAGGGCGAGAGAGTGGCATTCCATCCAATGCGACTGCTGCAGGAGATGCTCTTTGGGTGGTTGGTTGGGTGTGGATGAGGGTGGTTGGTTGGGTGTGGATGAGGGTGGTCGATTGAGTGAGGGTGGTTGGGTGCGTTAGGTTGCTTTGATACATTTTCTAGCTGCCGGTGCCTTGGCCATCCATGCACTCTCCTAAAGACATCCACACACCATGCTATCCCCCTTACTCCTCCTTTTCTTCTGCACACATACAACAACCACCTCCTTACCCCCCCCCCCCCCCCCCCCCCCCCCCCCCCCCCCCCCCCATTATCCGCCTCTCTCCCCCTGCCCACCTCAGGAAATCGCGCGAGGTGCGCACGTCGAGTCAGCGGCTGATTGCCTTCCAGCCAGGCCAGTTGAATCTTGAATCGATCAAAAGTCACCCCTTCCCACCCCCAACCCACGCACCCCCGTCCTCACCCTCCACACCCCTTCCTGGCCTCACAGGAAATCGCGCGAGGTGCGCACGTTGAGTCAGAGGCTGATTGCCTTCCAGGCCAGCATGGCTAACGCCAATCCCGCCATGCCCATTGACAAGCAGCAGGTGCGTTCTCACTCAGCAGGTGCGTTCTCACTCAGCAGGTGCGTTCTCACTCAGCAGGTGACGCACGCGCTCCATTTCTTCCCTACCTTCTACTCGCTCTCTTCTTCTGCTTACTCTCTTCCTTCTGCTCACTCTCTTCCTTCTGCTCTCTCTTTTCCTTCTACTCTGCTCTCTTCCTTCTGCTCTCTCTTTTCCTTCTACTCTGCTCTCTTCCTTCTGCTCTGCTCTCTCTCCCCCCAAATGCATTTGTCACCTCAGCCCACCCCACCCTCCCCCTCCCCTCTGATTCTTACCCTCCATGTACTAGTCTCTTCTCCCTCTTTCATGTCTACTACTCTCCTCTCTTCTCACATCTTTCGTATCTCTCTCCCCTCTGTCACTCCTATTTTCCTCTCCTCCCTTCAAACCCCCCAACCTCCCCCAAACCCCCCATCAGGAGGTACTGTTGAACGAGATTGCAGTGAGCCGCTTCCCCTTTGGCCTGCAAGGCCAGCCGGTTGCAGTGTGTGTGGTGCACCGGTCGCTGCTGCACTGGCGGGTGTTCCAGGCGGAGAAGACCAATGCGTTCCCCTCTCCTTACTGCTCTCTTCTTCTCCCCTGCCCCCTCCCTTCCTCCATCCCTCCTCTCTCTTCCCTCCCTCCCTCCCCCCAACCTTCTCTATCAGGAGGTACTGTTGAACGAGATAGCAGTGAGCCGCTTCCCCTTCGGCCCGCAGGGTCAACCAGTGGCGGCGTGTGTGGTGTACCGGTCGCTGCTGCACTGGCGGGTGTTCCAGGCCGAGAAGACCAACGCGTTTGACCGCATCATCGAGACCTTCCAGATGGTCTCTCGGTCGGACGACATGAGCACGCTCAGCTACTGGCTCAGCAACCACGTCGTGCTACTGTATCTGGTTCAGGTGGGAGAGAGGAGGGAGAAGTGGGATAGGGGGTACTGCTATGGTGGGGCCTGGTGGGGGGTGTTATGATGGTCTCGCGCTCCAACGACATGAGCACGCTGAGCTACTGGCTCAGCAATCACGTGGAGCTGCTGTACAATCCAAACAAAGAAGCCCAAGCCACTGGCCCCACTCCCCACCTCTGCTGTTGACCCCCCTCAACCCCTGCTCCCCCTCCTACCCCCTCTCCCTCTTTTTCCCCCTCCCCCCCTCAACCCTCCCCTCCTCCTCCTGCAGGTGGTGTACAAGCCGCCAGCAGAGAAGCCCAAACCGCTCCCCCTGTCCATAAGCCCCAAGCCTATACTCGAACCCCTCCCTCCCCTCCCCTCCCCCATGCCCCGTCCCCCTTCCCCAACCACCCCCCTCTCTTACCCCTCTCTCCCCCCTCCCTCCCCCCTTATCCAGGTGGTATACAAGCCGCCAGCAGAGAAGCCCAAGTTGCTTCCCCTGCCCCTAAACCCTTGACGCAAAACCACCCCTCCCCCCCTCGCACCTCCCCCCCTCCCCTCCACAGGTGGTGTACAAGCCGCCAGCGGAGAAGCCCAAGCTCGAGCGCGTCACCACATTTGGCTTTTTTGGTGCTCGGCCCCCCACTCCGGTGAGATGCAGTGCGGTGCTGTGAGGTGGGGTGGTAGAGGTGCGGTGCTGTTGGTTGATTCGTGGTGCAAGTGGTTATGATGCGATGCAGTAATTTCTCTTCCGTTCTCTCCCTGACCGACCCCGTTTTGTTATGAAACCCCTTCTGATTGTGTAATTGTCTTCGTGTCCCTTCATCCCTCCCTCTCCCTCCCCACCCCACTGCACCCGCGACCCAGTGTGTCAATGCAGCAGGTGGATCTGATGCTCTTCTCTTCAGCAGCAAAAGAGACTCACTCACTCCCCACCCTCATTCCCTTCCCTTGATTCCTCCTCTCACCCCCCCACCCTCCCTCCTTCCCGCAAAACCACCCTCCAGCCGCGCCCCCGTGCGACGACGCAGCATGCTCTTCAAGCAGCACAAGGGACTCTCTCACTCCCTAACCTCGTTTCATCCCTCCCTCTCACTCCCTAACCTCGTTTCATCCCTCCCTCTCACTCCCTAACCTCGTTTCATCCCTCCCTCTCACTCCCTAACCTCGTTTCATCCCTCCCTCTCACTCCCTAACCTCGTTTCATCCCTCCCTCTCACTCCCTAACCTCGTTTCATCCCTCCCTCTCACTCCCTAACCTCGTTTCATCCCTCCCTCTCACTCCCTAACCTCGTTTCATCCCTCCCTCTCACTCCCTAACCTCGTTTCATCCCTCCCTCTCACTCCCTAACCTCGTTTCATCCCTCCCTCTCACTCCCTAACCTCGTTTCATCCCTCCCTCTCACTCCCTAACCTCGTTTCATCCCTCCCTCTCACTCCCTAACCTCGTTTCATCCCTCCCTCTCACTCCCTAACCTCGTTTCATCCCTCCCTCTCACTCCCTAACCTCGTTTCATCCCTCCCTCTCACTCCGTAACCTCGTTTCATCCCTCCCTCTCACTCCCTAGCCTCGTTTCATCCCTCCCTCTCACTCCCTAACCTCGTTTCATCCCTCCCTCTCACTCCCTAACCTCGTTTCATCCCTCCCTCTCACTCCGTAACCTCGTTTCATCCCTCCCTCTCACTCCCTAGCCTCGTTTCATCCCTCCCTCTCACTCCCTAACCTCGTTTCATCCCTCCCTCTCACTCCCTAACCTCGTTTCATCCCTCCCTCTCACTCCCTAACCTCGTTTCATCCCTCCCTCTCACTCCCTAACCTCGTTTCATCCCTCCCTCTCACTCCCTAACCTCGTTTCATCCCTCCCTCTCACTCCCTAACCTCGTTTCATCCCTCCCTCTCACTCCCTAACCTCGTTTCATCCCTCCCTCTCACTCCCTAACCTCGTTTCATCCCTCCCTCTCACTCCCTAACCTCGTTTCATCCCTCCCTCTCACTCCCTAACCTCGTTTCATCCCTCCCTCTCACTCCCTAACCTCGTTTCATCCCTCCCTCTCACTCCCTAACCTCGTTTCATCCCTCCCTCTCACTCCGTAACCTCGTTTCATCCCTCCCTCTCACTCCCTAACCTCGTTTCATCCCTCCCTCTCACTCCCTAACCTCGTTTCATCCCTCCCTCTCACTCCCTAACCTCGTTTCATCCCTCCCTCTCACTCCCTAACCTCGTTTCATCCCTCCCTCTCACTCCCTAACCTCGTTTCATCCCTCCCTCTCACTCCCTAACCTCGTTTCATCCCTCCCTCTCACTCCCTAACCTCGTTTCATCCCTCCCTCTCACTCCCTAACCTCGTTTCATCCCTCCCTCTCACTCCCTAACCTCGTTTCATCCCTCCCTCTCACTCCCTAACCTCGTTTCATCCCTCCCTCTCACTCCCTAACCTCGTTTCATCCCTCCCTCTCACTCCCTAACCTCGTTTCATCCCTCCCTCTCACTCCCTAACCTCGTTTCATCCCTCCCTCTCACTCCCTAACCTCGTTTCATCCCTCCCTCTCACTCCCTAACCTCGTTTCATCCCTCCCTCTCACTCCCTAACCTCGTTTCATCCCTCCCTCTCACTCCGTAACCTCGTTTCATCCCTCCCTCTCACTCCCTAACCTCGTTTCATCCCTCCCTCTCACTCCCTAACCTCGTTTCATCCCTCCCTCTCACTCCCTAACCTCGTTTCATCCCTCCCTCTCACTCCCTAACCTCGTTTCATCCCTCCCTCTCACTCCCTAACCTCGTTTCATCCCTCCCTCTCACTCCCTAACCTCGTTTCATCCCTCCCTCTCACTCCCTAACCTCGTTTCATCCCTCCCTCTCACTCCGTAACCTCGTTTCATCCCTCCCTCTCACTCCCTAACCTCGTTTCATCCCTCCCTCTCACTCCCTAACCTCGTTTCATCCCTCCCTCTCACTCCCTAACCTCGTTTCATCCCTCCCTCTCACTCCCTAACCTCGTTTCATCCCTCCCTCTCACTCCCTAACCTCGTTTCATCCCTCCCTCTCACTCCCTAACCTCGTTTCATCCCTCCCTCTCACTCCCTAACCTCGTTTCATCCCTCCCTCTCACTCCCTAACCTCGTTTCATCCCTCCCTCTCACTCCCTAACCTCGTTTCATCCCTCCCTCTCACTCCCTAACCTCGTTTCATCCCTCCCTCTCACTCCGCAAACCCCACCCTCCACCCCCACTCCCACCCCCTTCCCAACCCCCCTCCAGCCGCGACCCAGTGCAACGATGCAGCAGGTGGATCTGATGTTGTTCAAGCAACAGCTGGCGACGGGCATCGAGCGGCTGTATGTGACCATCCGCGACAGCGCCAAGTCAGAGCTCGCCGTGCACTTCAACCCGCAGGTGCAGTGCGGTGGGAAGTGGTCGTGGGGGTTGGGGAGTGGCCCTTGAGGCTTGAAGGGGAGATGGTCTTACAGGTGTGGGGGCTCGTGTAGCCTGCAAGGGTGAGGCATCGACCGGCTGTATGTGACCATCCGCGACAGTGCCAAGACAGAGCTCGCCATCCACTTCAACCCGCAGGTGCGGTGGGTCATGGGGGTTGAGGAGTGGTCTTGGGAACTGGGGTGGGGATGGTTCTGTGGGTGGGGGTGAGAGAACACAACCTGATGGACTGGTCAGTCAATTGAGCCCAGAGGTATACATAGGGTCCCATCAGGCAAAGCGAGGCTCACCATCACGCATGGAGACTTGTCAAAATAAGGAGACGATTTTTGAGACGCTTCAGTGGAGCCGTGGCCAGGGGTGTACGCAGGGTTTGGACGAACCCTGAACCCTGAACCTCCTCGTCCAAACCCTGTGGACACCCTCGTCCAAACCCTCAGGGTGTGTACACCCTCGTCCAAACCCTCAGGATGTGTACACCCTCGTCCAAACCCTCAGGGTGTGTACACCCTCGTCCAAACCCTCAGGGTGTGTACACCCTCGTCCAAACCCTCAGGGTGTGTACACCCTCGTCCAGGGTTCAGTGGAGCCTTGGCCAGGGGTGCACACAGGGTTTGGACGAGGAGGTTCAATTCAAGCTAGGTTGTTCGGTTGGGCTGGCCAACAGTTATATTGGCTGCCCTGTATGTGTTGTTAGTTTGAAAACTAGCCTCTAAATGAGAAAGCACATCATGTTGTACCCATGTCCCTGGACTAATGTGGCCATCACTCCCTCTCCCCTCTCTCCCCTCTCCCAACTGCTTGTCCTGTTCTTTTGCAACCCCTGTCTGCCTCTCACAGCTGCAGGCACGAGGGGCGGAGGCGGAATCAGGTGAGGGAGGAGAGCTGGGGGAAAATGGGGGAGGAGGCCCGGGCATCCCCCCGGCAGGGGCGAGGGGGAGGGGGCGGGGAGGGCGGGCGCCGCAGCGCAACGCAGCGACGGCGATGCGGAAACACATCATGTCGTCGTGGACCAATGTGGTGATCACTCTTCGCCACATCATCGGGAACCTCGTGGCCAATCACGTGCCGGCAGCCCTGCTGGACGCGCTCATTCGCCAGCTGCTATTTTTCGTTAACATGAAGATATTTAACAGGTGAGTGATTTGAGTGAATGAGTGGGTGAGTGGGTGAGTGGGTGAGTGGGTGAGTGGGTGAGTGGGTGAGTGGGTGAGTGAGTCAGTGGGTGAGTGAGTCAGTGGGTGAGTGGGTGAGTGAGTGAGTGGGTGAGTGGGTGAGTGGGTGAGTGAGTGAGTGGGTGAGTGGGTGAGTGGGTGAGTGAGTCAGTGGGTGAGTGGGTGAGTGGGTGAGTGGGTGAGTGGGTGAGTGGGTGAGTGAGTGAGTGGGTGAGTGGGTGAGTGGGTGAGTGAGTGAGTGGGTGAGTGGGTGAGTGGGTGAGTGAGTGAGTGGGTGAGTGGGTGAGTGGGTGAGTGAGTCAGTGGGTGAGTGGGTGAGTGGGTGAGTGGGTGAGTGGGTGAGTGAGTGAGTGGGTGAGTGGGTGAGTGGGTGAGTGGGTCGTCCATTTTTCCCTTCTTCTATTCGTCTCTCCGCTCCCCAGGTCGATGGTTGGTGTGGTTCCAGTGGTATCCCTGCCCCTACAGCAACGGCGACTTGATGGAGGAGGGTCATGAGACTGGGAGTTGCCTCATGCTCTTTCTCTCTTTCTTCCCACCCTCTTCATGTCAGCCTCATGGTGCGAGCGCAGTGGTATCCCTGCCCCTACAGCAACGGCGACTTGATGGAGGAGGGGCATGAGACTGGGAGTTGCCTCAGTCTATTCCTGTCTTTCGTCCCATCCAACCCCACCTCCCCCACCCCCCTTCCCCCTTCTTTCCCAACAGCCTCATGGTGCGCGCGCAGTGGTGTCCGTGCACGTACAGCAACGGGGAGATGATGGAGGAGGGGCTGAGCCGCCTGGAGCAGTGGGTGCATGACGTGGAGGTGCAGCTGAGGGAGGTGCTGGGTGGGGAGAGAGAACCCTTGAGGAAGGAGCTGAGGCACCTGCAGCAGACGATTCTCTTCCTGGTGAGTGTTTGCCAATTTTCTTGCAGGTTACTGGCAAGTGTATGGCTATGTGTCAAGCCGATGTGTCTGTCTGTTCTTCCTCGTAAGCACCAGAGCACAGCAGCAGAGCACAGCAGCAGAGCAGAGCAGCAGAGCAGAGCAGCAGAGCAGAGCAGCAAGGCACAACATTCAGCCCACACTTGTCTCTGTGCCCCTCTTCTCTTCGCTCCCTCCCCCAACCAGTCCCTGAACCACAAGCCATGGCGAAATGTAGAGGGGCACCACATGCTGTGCTGTGCCCTGGCCCCAGCATGAACCATCTGGTACAAGGGCGATCCACAAGTGGGTGCCTGTTCTTGAGTTGACTCATGCGCAACAACTGTTTTCTCCCCTCCCTCCCCTCCCTCTCCCAACCCTCCAGTCCCTTGACCGCAAGCCAAGGCAAACACTAGAAGAGCTGCGGATGATGTGTCAGGACCTTAGCATGAACCAGTTGGTACACATGTGCATCTGGTACGAGGATGGGAGGCGAGTACTGAATGTTATTCTCACTCCATTCAACTCTCCTGTTGCCCTCTCCCCCATCCACCAGACTTTGGATCACAAACCGCGCAGGACTTTGGAGGAGTTACGGATGCTGTGTCCTGACCTGAGCATGAACCAGCTGGTGCATATGTGCATCTGGTACGAGGATGACAAGTACTGATTCTTCAACTCAATCGTTTCTCCCTGTCCCTCCCTTACCCGCCCACCAGACCCTGGACCACAAGCCACGCAGGACACTGGAGGAATTAAGAATGCTATGCCCTGACCTGAGCATGAACCAGCTGGTGCACATGTGCATTTGGTATGAGGATGACAAGTACGGCACCAAGGGCGTGGACTGACACTTGTCTCTGTGCCCCCCTCCCTCTTCCTTCCCGTCAACAGACACTTGACCACAAACCAAGGAGAACTCTGGAGGAACTACGGATGCTCTGTCCCGATTTAAGTATGAACCAGCTGGTGCACATGTGCATTTGGTACGAGGACGACAAGTACGGCACCAAGGGCGTGGACCCGAGTGTGATCGAGCAGATGTGGAGCGAGATGGTGGACGACAGCCCCATGCTGCTAAGGGACGGTGAAGGGTGAGTGAGCTGCTATGTTATAGTATTGGTGATTGTGGGGCTAGGTTACCAATAAGGGGACCGGGGCCCCGAGGGTAAGGTGTGTGTTAGAGCAGTGTTGGGGCACCAAGGGCGTGAATCCGAGTGTCATCGAGCAGATGTGGAGCGAGATGGTGGACGACAGCCCCATGCTGCTAAGGGACGGTGAAGGGTGAGTGAGCTGTTATGTTATAGTATTGGTGATTGTGGGGCTAGGTTACCAATAAGGGGACCGGGGCCCCGAGGGTAAGGTGTGTGTTAGAGCAGTGTTGGGGCACCAAGGGTGTGAATCCGAGTGTGATCGAGCAGCTGTGGAGCGAGATGGTGGATGACAGCCCCATGCTGCTGCGCGATGGCGAGGGGTGAGTGTGTGTTGTTGTTAGAGCAGGCTAGCAGTGGGGGAGAGTTAGTGTATGGCGCGAGTGCAGTGCTGCAGCACCAAGGGCTTGGACTCGAGCGCAATAGAGCTGATGGAATACGAGATAGTTGACATGTGTTAGTGAAGGGTGAATGTGGGGCAAGTAAGTGTGGCTGAGTGCGAGTGCCCCCGAGTGTGCTCGAGGGTGAGTGTGATTCCTTCTTTCTCGCACTAACAATGTTTCCCTGCTATGCTCTCCTTCTTTCCTCTCCTGCCTCTTTCCCCGACCGCAGCATCCCCTTCACAACGGACGAGATCGTGCACAGCCTACCCGAGATAAACCTGGACGAGGTGGAACCTCCCCCCGAGCTCCAAGACGACCCCACCTTCCACTTCCTCCTCCCCCTCACCTCCGTCCCCTCCGTCCCCTCCACCCCGACCGCCGCCTCCCACACTCCCCGCAACGCCTCTCCTCGCGTGCCTCCCTCTGTGCCATCATCTATCCCCCGATCGGCATCGCTCTCTACCGCGCATTCTCGGCCCGGCACCGCTCCCCACCCCATGGGTGGTGGTACTCCCAGGGCTGCCGGGACGTCGTCGGTTACGAGTACGCCTCGTGTGCCGTCGAGCCCTTGGGATTACTTTCGGGGGCGAGGGGCGTGGAAGAGTGATGATGCGTGATGATGAGTGGGGCGTGAGGGAGGGGAATGAGGAGGGTGAGGGAGGGGAATGAGGAGGGTGAGGGAGGGGAATGAGGAGGGTGAGGGAGGGGAATGAGGAGGGTGAGGCAGGACGAAGAGGTATGAAGGAGGCAGGTGGGAAGGGCAGGAACGATGGCCATGACTGTTGGAAGGTGCCATGCTATGGGGGGCCTTCGAGAAAATTGCAGGAAGAAAGACGCATGTGTCAAGATAGGGACGTATGAGTTTAGGAGGGCCTAGGCTTAGGAGCCTAGGCCAAGGGGTGTCGAGGGAGTTGTGCCAAGAGAGTTACGAGAAAGAAGAGTGGTTTCACTATAGCACACAAGGTACATATAGCAAAGCAACAAAGAAGGTGCACCACCAACTCTTAATAATAATAACTACAGTACCTACAGCACGCAGGGTATATATTAAACATATTGTTTGACACACCCCCTTAGCCTGCGTGCGGTAGAAACTGGTGCAGCCAGCACCCCCTGAACGAGCAAACCAAGCGCTGTGGAAGAAGGCAGAGAAGTGAGGAAGGTGAGAGGAGAGGAGAGAAGAGGAGAGGAGAGGAGAGGAGAGGAGAGGGGGGGGGGCCAGGACCGGCGGACCCGCTTACGAACCTCCTTTTACAAAGGGGAGGTGAGAGAGGGAAGGGAGAGGAGGTGGGCTAGGCGGGCTTGAGCGCGAAAGCTCATAGCGATCCCCCCCCGTTAAGAACCCCCAAGTCCCGATGAGGAGAGGAGGTGGGCTAGGCGGGCATGAGCGCGCACGCTCAATGCGATCCCCCCCCGTTAAGAACCCCCTACTCCTCACCCCCCTCGTCACTCAACCCCGTCAACCTCACACCTTCCGCACCTGTCTTCTCCCGCCACCCCCTCACCCTTCTGCACTTCTCTCCCCCCCCCCCTTCTCTACGGCGACAATCCCTGCAGTAAGAGAGAGGGGAGGGACGGGCTGCAGGCAGCTCACACACGCCACCCACACATCTCCCCCTCCTCCCTTACCCTCTCACATCCCCCCTTACCCTCTCTCCCTCCCCCCCCCTACAGCAACAGTTGTTGCAGGGAGAGAGGAAGAGGGAAGGGAGGGAGGAGTGGCAGGCTCCTCACACCCGCCCCCCCCCCACAACCCCTTCCCCCTCCCTCCTGTTAGAATAGTAGCCTAAGTAGACTAGGGTTTTGGGGTATGAGAGTAGCGAGGGAAACGGAAGAAGAGGGCTTACACTAATGAGCAAGATACATGATATAGTTCAAGGGAAGGTGAGCACAGTGGTGCACCACCAAATAGTTAAGAACAATAACTGCAGTAACTACAGCACGCAGGATATATATTAAATATAACTTTGACACACCCCCTTAGCCTGCGTGCAGTAGAAACTGGTGCAGCCAGCACCCCCTGAACGAGCAAACCAAGCGCTGTGGAAGAAGGCAGAGAAGTGAGGAAGGTGAGAGGAGAGGAGAGAAGAGGAGAGGAGAGGAGAGGAGAGGAGAGGAGGTGGGGGGCCAGGACCGGCGGACCCGCTTACGAACCTCCTTTTACAAAGGGGAGGTGAGAGAGGGAAGGGAGAGGAGGTGGGCTAGGCGGGCTTGAGCGCGAAAGCTCATAGCGATCCCCCCCCGTTAAGAACCCCCAAGTCCCGATGAGGAGAGGAGGTGGGCTAGGCGGGCATGAGCGCGCACGCTCAATGCGATCCCCCCCCGTTAAGAACCCCCTAGACCTCACCCCCCTCGTCACTCAACCCCGTCAACCTCACACCTTCCGCACCTGTCTTCTCCCGCCACCCCCTCACCCTTCTGCACTTCTCTCCCCCCCCCCCCCTACAGCAACAGTTGCTGCAGGGAGAGAGGAAGAGGGAAGGGAGGGAGGAGTGGCAGGCTCCTCACACCCGCCCCCCCTCCCCACAACCCCTTCCCCCTCCCTCCCCCCTCCCCACGACGGAAGCCGCGGAAGGGAGGGCGGGGGGGGGGGGGGGTGGCGGCGGTAGCTGCTGCTGGCGCTGGCGGCTGGCCGCGGCGCTGGCCTCCGCGCTGGCGGATTGCGGGGTGACGGGGGCGACGAAACGGGGGCCGCGTGGCGACGAAATGGGGGCCGCGTGGCGACGAAACGGGGGGGCAGCGGGGCGACGAATCGGGGGCCGCGGGGCGACGAAATGGGGGGCCGCGGGGCGACGAAATGGGGGGCCGCGGGGCGACGAATCAGACGGGCGCAGGGCGCGACGGGACGAAGAAAATAGCGCATTTCGCGCTGCATTAAGGGCGGGCCCATGTTTCTGAAAAAAAAATGAAGGTTCTAGGAAAGAACCAGCTCTGAAACCATGTTAGAATAGTAGCCTAAGTAGACTAGGGTTTTGGGGTATGAGAGTAGCGAGGGAAACGGAAGAAGAGGGCTTACACTAATGAGCAAGATACATGATATAGTTCAAGGGAAGGTGAGCACAGTGGTGCACCACCAAATAGTTAAGAACAATAACTGCAGTAACTACAGCACGCAGGATATATATTAAACATAACTTTGACACCTCCCCCCTCCCCACGACGGAAGCCGCGGAAGGGAGGGCGGGGGGGGTGGGGCGGCGGTAGCTGCTGCTGGCGCTGGCGGCTGGCCGCGGCGCTGGCCTCCGCGCTGGCGGATTGCGGGGTGACGGGGGCGACGAAACGGGGGCCGCGTGGCGACGAAATGGGGGCCGCGTGGCGACGAAACGGGGGGGCAGCGGGCGACGGGCAGGGCGTCCGCGGGGCAGCCGACGGGGCGTCCGCGAGGCAGCCGACGTGGCACGTTCGGGGGGACGGGCAGGGCGCGCGCGACGGGCGAACGGGGAGAAAAAAAAAAAATAGCGCATTTCGCGCTGTAGTACGGGCGGGCCCATGATTCTTTAAAAAAAAAGAGAAGGTTCCGGGAAAGAACCAGCTCTGTACCATGTCAAGATAGGGACGTATGAGTTTAGGAGGGCCTAGGCTTAGGAGCCTAGGCCAAGGGGTGTCGAGGGAGTTGTGCCAAGAGAGTTACGAGAAAGAAGAGTGGTTTCACTATAGCACACAAGGTACATATAGCAAAGCAACAAAGAAGGTGCACCACCAACTCTTAATAATAATAACTACAGTACCTACAGCACGCAGGGTATATATTAAACATATTGTTTGACAGCATGATGCCTCTTTCAGACCAGAGGCATGAAAAGAGGCATGAGAAGGGATGGGCATGATAGCGAAATGGGCATGAGGAGAACAAAGCCTAGGTGATGTGCTGAAGACAGACTGCCATAATGCCCCAATGAAGTTTGCAGGAGTAGAATGCATGATGCATTCCTTGCAAGAATTACATGTGCTGGTGGTGTGGTGAGGTGACTTATTTGACTTGCAGGGCGCATCGCATGTAGATACGGTTGTTTCACACCAGCTCTAGTTTCCTTGTTGGCTGTCTTGCAAGCACGATTGTTTATGCTTGCTGTGCAGCTGTACATGTGAGGATTTAATTAGGACTAGTTTAGTCTAACTTCCATGCATCTGTTATCTGTTAGTTAAATATTTGGAATGTATGATAGCGTGTAAGAATACAGACTTGTGTGCCAATAGTTCTGAGCAGTCCATGGTGCACCATGGAGTTAGGGCCGTTCCCTCCCTCGATCGATCGTGCAAAATCGAGGAGATCGATCCTCCACCCCACTAAACTCCTGCTTTGTCTGTTTTCGACTTTTTAAACCTTTTGTCAACCGAGCGCATGGTCGATCCTGTGCAGGATCGATCTAGGGAGGGGATGCGCCTTTAGGACGCGGTAGAAGAGCTCGATCGGGAATATATTGATCCGGCCACCGCACGGAATATATTGTACCAAAAAGTACACAACCTTTTACAACTGCGTTAGAAAACAAATCTGAGGCGAACGATCCAATACGAGTCCTTACGAGTCCTTGCATCCGTTAGCTCACACTTCTGTTAGCCGTACTTTGAAACTTGGTGCCTGCGTCGCATTGGTGCGTTCGACCTCTGAGACGTATGTACCACACCCGGCACCCGCTAACCCTACCCTCCAACAGAAACACTCTACGCGAACTTGCATCGAGCATCTTACCATTTGGTAGCGGCTCAGAGCTGGCTTGGAGGTTTCCTTTGCGTAGTTTTCTTACAGTCAGTAAACGCTATGGCGGACGTAGGGGGATACATGCCGCCTCAGGAGCCAGTAACTTACATGTGCGGGGGTACGATCCTTCTTTTCTGCCCTGGCTTCGGTTACTTTGGTTTAATTCTTGAGCCGCTATCCTCCTCGGCAGCTTCTTTCTTCGTTGTTCTTCAGTTAGTTTTTTTTCATTCCTTATGTTACTCGATGTTACTTTTTATTCCACTCAAAAGTCACCTCGTTTTGAGTAGATTCAAAAGTCACCTCATTTTAAGTCGACTCATGAGCCGCCCTCCTCCTCGGCAGCTCATTTCTCAGTTCTTCAGTTAGTTTTTTTTATTCATTATGTCATTCGATCGTGTTTGCGCGTGCCAGAATGTGGTGCGGATAACACGTTGAAGCCAGGAGACGTGATCCAATGTCGAGAGTGCGGATATCGAATTCTTTACAAGAAAAGAACTCGGCGCAGTAAGTCCCGTCGCAGACGTGTGTTGGCAACTACGCTGTTACCGAAAGGTCCACGAATGGTTGAAGGAATTGTTGAACCCCGAAACCCGAAACCCAGCCATGCCGAAACCCTCCTTCCAGATCTTGTCTTGTTTTATTTGTTTTTAATTGGTACTTGGCACCTTATTTGGTTTTGGTTGTATTATTGCTCCCAATGTGCTGTTGTTATTTCTCCCAGTTTTTTCTCACTATCATCTTCTGCCTCTACGTCCCTCTCACCATGCCACCATCTCACCATGATACTACCATCACACAATATCACCATCACACAATATCACCATCACACAATATCACCATCACACAATGTCACCATCACACAATGTCACCATCACACAATGTCACCATCACACAATGTCACCATCACACAATGTC